TTAAAAGCTACGTCAGATGGTACTTGACATATAACCCTAGTTTCAGTATTTTTTTCATCTTCTCTCTCGTTAAGTACTGTCCAAATGGTAAAATATCTAAATCTAGAGAGAGTCCGGATAATTAGATGTTCGGATAATCGGGATTCTACTGTGCCCAATTTAATGCAATCTTTAAACAAGATATTGAAATTTTATACTAATTTATTCAATTTTCACCGTCGTTTAGGATAATTAAACCGATGACTTGTTTTCAAACCTTATATAATAATAAAAATATGTGACATATTGTTTAACTTGTGTAAAATGGGAACTAATATTTAATATGGAATTGGGGATAAAGAAAATAAGTGTGATTAATATTAATCATTTAATAGCTACTCGTGAAATCACATGTGTAAGATATTTAACAATTGTTAACAGTTTTAGAACCATAGCACGTTCGACATTTTTAGTATAAGCGATTAATAGTTCCTTTTCATATATTTGTTACTAGACCCTGGGCGACCAATCCATATATAATTTGGATGCATTTCAAAATCATCCTCTCTGTGCCGCCACAAGTAATCATTTAATAAAATCGCTGGTACTAAAATATTGTCTTACAAAAAAATGCTCTAATAATAATAGCAAATTACATATATTTTTAAATTGGTATACTACATTATTAACCAGATATTGTATCTAAAACATACTTGAAGCCATATTTGGTGTAAACATTATCTCACAAGGAACATCCATTGGTATTAAATTAATTAGAACACACATTACTATAGTTTATTGTTGCATCCTTTGCATTTTTAACTTAAGTAATTTCTGATTATTGTCATAATATTTATTTGTTCATTAGTGCACACTAACTGACAATCATTGATTATTGCCGCTTTCATCATAAAACTGTTAAGACAAAGTATTACCATCAATGAGATATGCAGTCGCATACTACAAGTTCGGTTTTTTTTAAAACTTTTCCAGTATTACCACGTTATCTATACATCTATACATATAAATAAAATTGAAGTGTCTGTTTGTAATATTGAAATAACCGTTTTTTACTACATGCATATGAATATAAATACGGTACATACATATACCAAAAAACACTTTACAATTTTTGTCTGTCTGTCTGTCGGTCTATTTGTTCCGGCTAATATCTGAAATGGCTGGACCGATTTTTACGGGACTTTTTTTGGCAGGTAGCTGATGTAATAACGACTAACATAGGCTACTTTTATTTTAGAAAATAAAGTTAAATTCCACGCGGACGAAGTCGCGGGAACGGCTAGTGTAAAATAAAAACAGATGTAAAACATCGAAATTATTTTGTACAGATAACACGCACATCTGTAGCGGAAACTTATGTCATTGGAACCATCATTTATATATCTGTAATGATAGGCAAGCCCGATTGACTAATTGGTGGTATGTGGTACTTATCAAGCATTGCCATTCCGAAGGACTAAGTTATGCATCCATATCTGTAATGCCATGGCTCACCCTTCAACCGAAACAGCTTACAAAGAAACTGCTTTTAGGCTGGCTGAAAGATATTCACGAAGACAACTTTTACAAAGTCTGGTTAGATCTAGTTAGATGTTTGACATTAATATTGCTTCTTATAATAAACGCAATATTCAATTTACATGGGATATTAGTATTTTTAAGTTCATGCCTATTTTATGTTTAAATTTAATTTTAGGTACTTAAGTATCTAGTAAATATTATACATGTTTGTACTTTAGAACATTACGACTGAGTATTGATGGTCGGTGCTAGACTAAACCTAAGACTCATCTTATGTTGTTTTATGTTATGTTTTAAGCCAATTTTAACTTATCATTCATCCTTCACACCGCAGATTTAATAATGCTGAAATTTACCAATTATTTACTCCTATAAGAAATGGTTTTGTTCTCTTATTTTGATTATAAATTATAATATAAGTATTTTGACGACTTGTTTATTATTACCGGTGCTTGGTTTAATTTAAAAATAATGTATTTATTTATTTATGGTGATTTTTCTATAAAACAATAAAAAATATATAAAATATCTCACCATAATTTATATTTATTTTTTCAGTAACATACGCTTTATAAATATTTCGATTTATGTTGTATGCATAAAACTTGATTTATTTATACTTAATAGATATCTTATGGCACTATTAACAATAAAATTGAAAACTACACAGATATTAATGTTTAAATCTATGTAAGCATAATAATTAATTACTTATAAAAAAAGCTGATAGTTTCATATATGTATCTAATTTGTACGTGTAATATAGAATTTGTTATGAGAATATGAGTTATGAGAATCAATTTCGGTACATTCTCATATGTACCTACCATGAAAGGATGTTACCAAATTGCTTGCTTTTCTTTCGTTCTAAAAGGAATTGATTTAGATCCGTAGATTACTATAATTATAGTATTTCATGTTACAGATAACAATTATTTCTTCATATTAAAAAATTACCAATATTCCATTTTGTGTAAAATGGTCTTTCTGAAATAGCTGTTACCACTTTAGTAACTCTATACCTTGTTAGGTGCTATAAAATATCAATCAACTATCTTAGTGCCTAAATAAAGACCTAATTACATACAGTGAAGAAATGTTGGTATGAAATGTTTTTTCTTATATAATATATTAATACCAATAATATTAGGATACGCTCTATCCTGTAGGTGAAACTATTATAATCTGTGGCTGTGCATGTATTTTATATAATATATCACTGGTTACACTTATGCGTTCTGTACAACCCTCATGAGAGTTGGAAGCCATAGCAAAAGGCACTTAAAATCACTCGGTTAGCACCAATCGACAAGGTTAATATTAATTGCGGCAACAAATTTTTATTGCTCGTTATATATTATGCCGTTCATAACAAAATATATTTACAAAGACTAGTAACTAATAAACGTATATAAGGTTAAAGCCGATCTCGACATTATTAAACGTAAACAATCTCAAATTGTACAATATATTTTTTACTGTATGCTACTGATAACTAGTACTAATTTTAAAAGAAAGTGAAAATAATGTTATAAAAAAAAATATTTTTCTACATGGGACCTGCGGGTGTATTGTATCGAGTTTAATTGTTCAATAATTCTGTTTTCTTTTAAACAGAAATCAAAAGTATAAAATACGAAACAGGTGAAATTAATTTTACAGGTGAAATTAAAAATTGATATGAATTACTTTGCTTGCTTGTTTACCACCTAAGTAGTATGCCTGCCGTCATTTCAACAAAATTTTGTTAAGACGTAAAAAAATATTAAAATTACTAACACCAGTTATTACTAGTGTTAGTTAGTTATTTTTAAAATAATCTTTACGTAATACGGTAGTGCGTGCTAGATCAGTCAGTCATAACAAGTCAGAATTGAAGAAAGAATATTTAGAGAAATGTAAGAAATAAATTTACATTTCTTACAAAGTATACATAACAACAAGGTGAACATTTCTAATTCTAAAACACAAATTTCGCAGCAGTTACAAAAATAAAGCAATATTACAACTATTAAAATTATCCATAGTTGTATAATATTATTATTTATTCGTAATATCGATTATTTCTATATAATTATTTTTAAGTTAAAACATTAATTAACAACATTTTTGAGTTATAAAATCACGACTGTATTTTCTAAACTATAATAATTTTGTCCGATCAAAGATTGTTTACTTTTAATTACGTCTATCGTTTCACAAAACATGTATATTTTAACGATAATATAAAATTACATATTATTTACAAAGTAATCTAGAGTAATATAATAAACAAACACACCCAAAGACTCTTCTTTATTATTAAATAAACATTAAATAACGTTAAGCTTGTGTTGCACGTAGTAACTAAATCGTAAATAAAGATACCAAATATAAAATCAAGATACAAAAAATATAAATAAAAGCGTGTTTTAATTAAAAAATATAATTTACATACAAGTATGATAATCAATTAATATAATCAGTTACAATTTAATTTCATTGTTACTGAATGTAATTTCTAGCATTATATTTTCTTTACAAATATAATTTATATTAAGCAATAATAAAAAATCAAATCAAAAAAGTATTATAATAAATAATCTATTATGTATGTTACCTTTAGATTTAAGGATTTGGTAACTAAGTGCAGCATAAAGCATGCTTTTTCTTTGGGTGGATACACTCAAGGCCTCAAGCAATTATTTATAGCAACTATAAAAGCAAAAACTACCAACACTGAGTTATTGTAACACCATCTAAAACATTGTTATACTTCTATTGAACAACCGATAATCATTATTAATCTAATTAGGTATAACTATTACGTATCTATTTAAGTATTGCATTGTCAGAACCGAGCGCTTCGAATTTTGAATCTTATTTTCTGTTACAGACAATCCATATTTACTTGCGGTCGATTCCGATAAAGTTTCGGCTTCGCAGATATATAATTCGAAAAACCTGTATTTTTATACTAAACTAATTTGAAGGTGTATATAATATTGCTATTAAGTATAATTGCTTACATTTCATGATTATAGACATTTTGACTCCAGTGTTTAGTCCTGTTCTAATCTAAAAATCAGATCATTAAGAGACATTGTGATGTCATAAAAGGGGGACAAGTTCTCACTAAGAATATATAATGTTATATGTAAAAAATAATGTCTAACTTACCTAGCTGCATATTTTATGTAATAGCTTCTTTTTTGTTTAATTTATACTTGATGACTGGACCAATTTTATCATTAGATTTGTCTTAAATGATTAGTTATTTTATTTCCATATAAATATGTACTCATATTATATTTCAAGTTTAATTTAAATTACTTCAATATTATATTAAATATCTAATATATCCCTTTGTATTGCCATCAAAGTTTTTGTTTATTACGTGGTATAAACACCGCGGAGACTTTCTTTTTTTATGCAAAACTAATTAAAAAAAAAAAGAAATATACCAACATATTACGTAAAATAATAAAAATCGGTCTAGCCATTCTAAAGGTGACGCAGCTCTACCATTAATTTATGTTAATACCATTAATTCTGCCTCTTGAATAACATTTTAGGAAATAAATTAATTAATTAAATGTATATTTGCAATACGACAAATGATTGCACTTTTTGTAGTCATGGTTTACGTGTTACACATCTTATGTTTAATGAAAACCTAAACTTCAATTAAACATCAAAATATCATAAATATAATACGTACAGATAGACTAAAACACTGGTTGCGATTAGGTGTCTTTATAACCATTGGCCTTCATTGCAGAGTGCACCACCCACGAAATAGTCAAGGGTTGTCAATACTCTCTGTTAAATACTCGGCTGTCTCCATCGCGCCTCCGTCTCCATTAACTTGATCCCTAATCACGATAGTAGGATTGTTTGAACAGGATAAATTCGATTCGGTTCTGTTGGTCGACTCACATCGCTGGCAGTCGACCACTACTATTGAGTTTGTGTCCATATCGGTTTCCGTGCTGCTCGTCCGACGGAGATGGTTCGCGTTTGACTGCAGTCGATGCTCCACTATCGCTCGCCATAGACGTAGCTCTACACCACCTCTGTGAAAACAAATTGTCACATAAATAAATTATAATATCTTACAGTAAGATCTTATGATGGTCACGATTTCGATTCCTTGCACGGTACAAATTTTGTATTCATGAATATATGATTGTTTGTATCGGGCTGGGTGATTTCTATGTACATTATGTACATATTTATATCAGTTGTCTAACACTAATAAGAGAAGCTCTGCTTACCTCGGGACTAGATGGCATTTTGTGAAAATAAAAAAGTGTATAACATTACTAAAATTATAAATGTAATGTGAAAGTAAACAAATTTATGATATCCTGGCAAATTAACGACTAAACCAATCATTATGAATTTTGGTATAAACCTATAATTTTTATGTATGTAAAAAATAATATTCTAGTTGGAGCTCAAGTTGGAGTAGCATAAGTGTCTACACGCTTTTCCATACCGAAAGTACGGTGGTGAATTAATTACTAGTGAATTCGCTACGAACGGCTAACTGATCTAACTTCATGATCATCCTATCACGCTCCACTGGAGCCCCATCAGTGTAGACGGGTAAATGTAATATTCATTAAGTCATTAAAAATGAAGGAGTACGCACATTTGTACTTTATTATTTTTTAACCTTACCAGCATGAGACAAAGGTCATAGACTACTTTTATATATATATATATACATTTGATACTTAAAAAAACATATCAGGTTGCTTTAAGGAGCACACAGTGAAGTCCTTTCTTCAGTAGTAGACAATGTGAAATAATTAACGATAATAATGTTTTTATAGAAAAACTTTAAATCCATAGCACTGACAATATTATCTGATTACACTAATAATGAGTGCGTTGCGATTTCTATGTTGATCATCGCATGCCTCTTACTTGCTATACTGTAATTATTTATATAAAAAAAACATATATTAAAAAGAGCAACACACAAGTTTCTTGCACATTCTTCTTGTGATGAATCTGCATTCCGAATGAGTGGTAGAATCAAAATATGACTATTCAAAAGTGCTTGTAATAAGTTTATTTGAATAAAGATTATTTCTATTTCTAATGGTGATGAAATTTTATTACAACTTACTTGAGATTCAACTTAGCGATGTCTTCTCTCTGTGCATGTTGCAACAAATCTGAAAGAGAATATTCCTGTGCAACCAAAGCCCGTGCTGCCGTCTCAGGAACACCACGAGACAATGCCCAATCTCTAATAGGTGCTAGTTGCTCCTGGTCGACTTCTGGCAACTCTTGAGTATGTATATTCCTGTAACATAAATATATATGTCCTCAGTAACGAATATATAACTCCGTCTACGTGGTGTATTATTACTTCCGTAAAGTTGGTGCTTCTTCTTATAAGGTTATTACTCTATACCATACAACAATAAACCCTCTAAAAAAATTATATATATATATATATATATAAATAAATAATTTAGTACTATTATTAATTTAGTATGTATTAACGGAATAAAGCAGAACACACCAAGATAATTTTGACTGCAATTTAATGCTGTCGGAACATAAACTATCGTTTACAAAATAATACATAAAACGGTTCATTATAATTGATGTAACAATAAACTCAAAATTAAAAATTCAAGAAGTAAATTCCAGGATTCCCTAATTATGAAAATTAGAACTTACTGCCTTCCACTCGCCAGCTCTCTAATAATCTGCGTCTGCATCTTCTGTTCTTCCAGCATCTGACGTAGTAACGCTTGATATTGCTGATAGCTATCCAGCAATTCTTGATGCAATCTAGAAGTAAAATATTTGGGAAGTGAGCACAAGCTATTACAGTCTCGATAATTTTTTTTGTTCCTGATGATTTCAGAGTATGGTGAGTTAGACTAGTCATTTAGCACATGTGCCTTTTTTCGGACTACTCTAATATGCTGCTGGCCGTAGCTGGCCTTTACAGCTGCACCGGCCGATAGAGGGCGAGTGCAGATGGCACTCGAAACCAAAGGATGGACTTATGCAGTGGCTGAAGGTCAACTCCCGCCTGACAGATACGACTGTAGTCTGAGGGTACCGCTAGGGGTTCGAATCTCGGCTCAGGCCGTCGTAATTTATAGCACGGGGGCCTAATTTTTTTTTAATGTATTTATTGTGTAATGATGGAAGCAACACAGAAAATCATTACATAGTATAAAACAAAGTCGCTGTTGCCGTCTGTCCCTATGTATGCTTAAATCTTTAAAACTACGCAACGGATTTTGAAGCGGTTTTTTTAAATAGATAGAGTGATTCAAGAGGAACGTTTATGTGTATAATACATGTACACCCGTGCGAAGCCGGATTGGTTAGCTAGTTATAAATAAATTAATATAGATTGATGCTTCCGCTTGTACTATAACGATATAAGTCAGCGAGGTACTAGTAGAGCATGATAGCATGAACATGAAAAATATTCAGTTGGTATTCACCAACTGAATGTTTTTCATGCACCATTTCAAGCACCAGGACTACAAAAACAAAATTTACGGGAAGCGTCGTAAACAAAATTTACCGTAAATTTTGTTTTTGTACATTATAATTTTAGAAGGTGGTATTCTAATTTTATTTTTCTTAGGGATTTAAACGTGTGAATAAATTATTGTTACATTCTATAAATAAAACTATCTACCCGCCCCGGCTTTGCGCGGATATACATGTATACGCTTAGATAATTTAAACTACGCAAAAGACTTTAATGCAGTGTTTAGCAGTAAATAGTATAGTTAAAGTAAATATATCATTTTATACTATGTAAAGATATGGTAATATTAGAATTTTAAATCAATTTAACTTCAAAAATTAAGTAGAGTTTACAGCTATCTATCTACTACTAATTGGAAGAGATATGAATGATAGTTTCCAAAGTATTACTTGTGTATCTCCTGCCGCCACTGGTGCTGCTGGTGGTCTCTAGCTGAGGTTGCTGTAGAGAGTGCGGAGGAGGTGGCCGCCTCCGGAGGACCACCGCCACCGCGACGCGATTCCCCGGCCAGGTTCGCGCCCAACTCTGTGAAAATAATAATTACAAGGTATAACATAAGGCAAGATGCCTTACTTCTCAGGGATAAACGGCATGAGAGGCATAGCGTTATCATTTAAATCAGAAATACTAGACAATACTCTATTGAATATCTAATATGCTATGTTTTTAATTATATTAAAAATGAGACATTAATTTTTTTTATTAAAATGAAACTTATAATCATAAAATTTTTATCACTTTTTCTACTATTTAAGTTCATTTAGCTATTTCAGTTGAGAAGATATGATAAGGAACTGACTGGGACATTTCTTTAGTTCAATTCAATTTATTTAGTACACATAATTTGAAAAATTTACAAACTAACAACTTACCCGGTGACAACACAGTTATTGCGGCTTGTACTGCATTCCGCACTAAATTGTCCAACGCGAACATCCAATGGGGTTTTATACTGTGCATCCTAAGTACAGCGTTAGCAGCCTCTTGGAACATATAGATGGCTGAATGCAACTCATTAATGGCATTAGAGTCGAAATCTAAATCCTCCTTTAGTGTGATCACGGCTCGTTCTATGACCTGCCTATTTTGTTGCGATATATAATCTTTCAAAGCGCAGTGAAGTACTGTTAAATGATTCTGTTAAAAAGAAATAAATTCAATTAAATTTATAGCGTATTTGTACCACAGAATTTCATTGTAATCTGTTCAAATCTGTAAAAATAATTCAGCAAATAAAATAATAATGCCTATAAGAACATGCCTAGCTTTAGATTAGATGGCGGTGTGTGAATTGTCCTGAGATATTAATATTCCAAATATCCATCTAGTCCAAAGCTAAGCAGAGCTTGTGATATGCCTACAAGACATCTAATATAAATACATAGATATCAAATAATAATATACATAATTTACAACACTCATCACCTGTTTTTCCTTCTTCCATATCATTAAATCGGCGTAATATATTATTCTCTTAACTTCATCTCTGTTCAATCAATCATTTACAAGAGTATATTATAATTATGTATCATATTTTTGACTTACCATTGTTAATACAGTATTTCCGAAATCCTCTTGTATATTGTCCATCCATTTGGAGCACACTTTTTCGCTGTCCTGTTCTAACACACGGGAGAGAGTAATACGCCGTTGTGAATCCTTCTTCAGTAGATAGAAACCATCATCTTCCATTTCTACAGACGATCGACCCCCGTTTATCAAATCCACCTGTTTATGGGCATTTATTGTTATTTATCGTTATAAAAAGAAATGTGTATTATTAATGGTTTTCAGGTTACTGTACTATTTGCGATTAAACTTGCTAGTTTTTTTCGAACTATTCTAATGCTTTTGGCACCAGCTGGCCTTTATAGCTTCATCAAACGATAGGGGGCGACGGCACCAACTAAAGTGAAGAGAGGTCGAAGCATAAAAAAAGATAGAGGCCCGCTTTGAAAGGATTATGGGGCAGTTGAAGGCCAATTGTTTTAGACGGATACGACTTTAACAGGGCACCGCTAGAGTGGTATATGCAACAATTGTTTGCACGTAATTTGCAAAAAGTGCGCGCAGCCGCAGTAGAATGAATGCGATGTTAATACTAGTATGAGTCTAGTATGACTAGTTAACACAGTAAATATAGATTCATAATTTCAATGAATAAAACATACCGAACTTTTTAATAATTCATACCTCAGGCGACAAGAGTCCTCCGGATGAATTTCGTCGGTTGAGCAATGTGTCACTGCTATCCATTTCATCAGTAGATGGCGTATTGGGCATCGTGCTACAAACAAAAGTATATAACATAGTTTCCTTAGCATTTTTACAATGTGTGTAAAATTTACATAAAATACGATTATTATAATAATAATTATAGGATTGACAAAAAATCTGTATTTATAAACATATAGCTGTGTCGCTGTCAATATTTCGAAGAATATATTTTGAACATTATTCTTATGAATGTTAGAACGATAAAATAATAATAAAATACACTATAATATCTTAGTTTATTTGTCATTATAATGGTATATTACTAGACAATACATATTAATATAAAAATTTGATACTAATATATTACAAATAAACAGTACTGAGAAAAAACCAGAAAATTTTGCTTGCATAGCTAGAAAATATTACCTGTTCACCACGGGTTTACTCTTAAGAGCATCCTACCGCTTATTCGATTGTATATTTCCCAAATACTAATAAGAATATCCAGAGTTCAGACTTACATAGATGTTAGGGATAAAACGGACAGATCTAGGAAGTATACTGAATGAAATAGTGAAAATAGCAAAATATAAAATTAAAAAAACTAATATATTATCTATATATATAGAAAAACATATTCTATAAAAATATTAATACTGTTCTTATTTGTACAAAAAAATGACGACCCCTTTTTAGTAAATATAATATTAGATATAAATTTTCCTCCTAGACTTGCTCGTTTTTATTTAAACGTCTGTAACAGTAGATGCAATGTTATAGATGTATATATAATTTTGCCTCGAAGTAACACATGCAAAGTCCCATATCAAAGCAGTTATAACATTTATCATAATAATATAAAATTGTGGGTGGGTTGGTGAGAGGTGAGAGTGGATTATTGAATCCATTGCTAGCAATATACCATGTCAGGTTGACCTCCATGCCGTTCCCCCTGGATACCATAATGATAGATTCCTGGTGAATTTGTCACGATTGGCTAACTGACCTGACCATCATCTTATCATCCTCCACTGGTGCCCCGGCCAAGTAAACCGTTAGCGCAGACGGGTGTATCATTCCATTATCATCCATTAAAATAATATATAAAATTGTTAAATAGTATTTAATCAATTTCACCGTATTTAATAATAACTAACATAGAATATAACAAAATTAATGCATTCCTTGTAAATTTGAGTATTAACAATATTCCTTTTTCTACTTTCACGTACAGAAAAAAAATACATTAATTCTATTACATATTGCATAAATAGAATCACATCATATGAAAAAGCTAAATAAAAAATATATAGAATTGGGAAAGGTCTTATAAATATATTGATATGAAGTTTAGGCGACAGAAATTGGTGAATAAGCGTGTAGATATACAAATACAGATAGTTCATGCCGTTGTCATTAAAAACAAGACATTGACAGCGTATTGATTCATAGAACACGATATTTATAACCTACAATATGATTCTTTCGAAACTAATGTTGTAAAAAAGTTTCAATCTTTTGTTCGTAATGTATTACGTAAAAAGTATATAACCAGTTTTAAAATGTATTTAACTTATAGAAAGCTGTTATAAGGAAGTAAGATATTACAGACGGGCACTGCCCCGATATATATAAATCATCTAGAAGAGTTATTTAATAGAGCAATGTTAATATTCTATATGTAATAACCACATGGTTATTACAATTCACGCGAATGAAACTACGGGAGTTTCATCCGCGTGAAATATAAAGCCTATGTGTTATCTGATGTATAAACTATATTATTGTATCTCAGCATTCAGTAGTTTTTGCGTGAAAGACTAACAAACATCCATCCTCTCAAACACTCACAAATTTCCGCGTTTATAATATTAGTAAGTTTACTGATTTAATCTTAAATTGCATTTAAGCATTCTAGTTTAAATTGCCTTATTAAATTAAAGTGACAACTAGAATTAAGTTAATAAGCACCGGTATTCATTGCATCAAAAAAATGTTTAAATATTTTGTACTTATAACAAATTAACAGGTACGTTAACATGATTGCATACACGCTGCTGATTCTACTAGAACTTACAATTATACAGCTGTAGTTATATAATACACATATAAAACAAAGTTTATGGACGGTAACGAAAATTCTAAAACTATAAACGTAAGAAATAAACATTATCAGTATCAGTAACATAAAAACAAAATATATACATTAGTTTATATTGTTACTCGTTCAAATGAAGAATTTATTAATTAAAAAAGGATGAGTGCAATATATGATAGTAAATAGATAATATTAATGTCTATAAAAATATTGTTACGAGCTGAAAAGCGCGAAGTCTATTTGCTATAATACATAAGACAATAATAATTACACACGATAAATACTAACTCTATAAGTTAAAGACATGCATATATTATTTATAGATTTATTTATTATAAGATGTAATAAAAATATAACAAAATTTATCAACATTTGTCCCTCTCATACACAATATAAGTATACCATAACACAGATGTATCCGTAACATTGCGTTTACAACAAAACACATTCTGTGTTATACACGTATACATGTTTAATACATGTTGTAACAATATTTATATCTATGTTACAAATAGTGTTTTCTTTTAATGGAACGGCGGTGTATTTTTATTCTCTTTCTACTTATAAATAAATGAAGTTAAATTAAGGTTACATAAATATAGTATTCTATGAAATCTGTGCATCAATATGTGCTTATTATAAAATGGTTACGGTTACCTGCTATTCGACAAGTCCGGTGGGTATATCAATATCGGTGATAGCATCGACGAAGCTGTCCTAGTGATTGTCGGATTAGACCGGACCGTTTTCACCCTTTATTGTGGGAAAACAAATATAGGCTTAGGTGCAAAGCAGTTAAGATATAATTTTGTGTTAAAACTCTAAATCGTGGTATCTACTGTGATTCGGGCCGAAACAACCAATTTATCTGTTACGGTCGGGGATAGGACTAAAGTAGAATTCATTAGTGTACGTCCAAAATTAATGACTAAATTGTTACGGAATGTTATACTGCATCGGGTTTGTGTTATAATAAACTGAATATATAAAGTAATTTGATATACAATAAATAGTAATTTCTATAATTATTTACACGAAGCACAGCAATTGAATTCGTGCAACACAGTTATTCATATAAGTCTCTAATCGTCTTGCAAATGACGAATCATATTCATATAAAACACTACATTGGATCCAGTAATTATACAGTACCATAAATACAAAAATATAGAGACAATCGTGAAAAAATATAAGTTGTTTGATGATACCAAACAAATTACTTGCGTATGTATTTTGAAATTTACAGTCTTAGCCACTTCTACATTTTTTTATGTTTCAACCCACTTTTACATAAAAAACAGAACAAATATAGTTTATTTTATTAAATTAGGAATATGTCATAGGACTAGTTTATGTATATAGTCATGACATATTAATTTATATAAATATGGAGAACTCATTTCTAGGCTAATTTCATACAAGTACCCACCTTATTAAACCCAATGCAGTAAATTTTTAATACAACCAATAACTGTTTCAACACAACCATAGAAACATTAACTTCTATCATACATGCGCTGCAATACAGTATTTAATTATATTGTGGTACAGTGTCAGTGTATTTGCGCACTAATCTACATACTAGTAGTTAAGATAATTCACAAATATATATATCATCCAATGTCACAATAAACATATTATATGTATATGTAGTTACTTAAACAAAATAATTAATACGATAAACTACTACCAACATTTAGTTGTTAGCGCATTCAATTTAATCCCTCCGTCAGATAATTTGGTGTTAAATTTTCTCTGCACCTGCCTTAATGCCGGTGATCTTAATGTCAATTCGATCATACCACCGTACTAAACTGGTTTAAAATGAATTTAATAAAAAAATCTTATATTGTTCATCAATGTGTATAACCGTATAGATTAGAAAACGAATAATGGAAAATGTAGAATCAAATAACATTTTTAAAGAAAAAACAGAGGTTTACAACGACCGTAGTAAGAGTCAACAAGTTTTGACAGTCTGATTAAAAGTACTTACTTTTATATACAAGAAACCTAAGATGCATATTTGCATACTAGAAATTGGTTTCAAACGGACACTAAGTAAAATAACACATATAACCCAAGTGCAAGTAAGAAAACAAGCAGTCCAATTACTCGCTACTACATGTGTGTTACATGTTCTCAGATTAGTAAAAACCGCTGTACAGAAAAAAAAACATGGAAATCTATTTATTATTGTCGCCTCTCTGCATTTTATCGGCAGAACCATTTGCCATACAATTTAGAAGAAATGTAGTGTCATGGAGAAAATAACAAAAATAACATTTAAAATGTTGCATCTAACATAACATTTCTCACATCAGATTTATATTAACAGACGCATTTTTATTTATAGTAAACACTAGTACAATTAACTTTAGTCTGTTTAATTAAGGACAAATATTCCGTCGTATTATTCCTTTGCAATTAAAAAAAAACCGAATGTTCATACGTTTTTCAGATTAGTTTTGTGGCGGATCAGAATTGACATAATGATGGCGGAAAGGAAAAATGATACATGTATGTACGCATATCAATTCGCTGGTTAAACTGAGCACACCTCGCCCAAATCGTAAGCTCCCTTAACCATATTACGTATGATATGACAAGAATACATCACATATGGACGGAAGGCATTAGAATTTGAACTTAATTTTTAAATACTTAAATCTCATATTAATGTAACCAGGTAAGCCATGCACGAAGTGACCTTATTAGAGACTGTACTCATGAAGATCACTTTTCTTTCCCGCTCGTTTACATGATTATTATAACGTCAAGGCAGAATTAATATATTGGAGCGAATAAACATTAAATAATAAATATAAGTAATAAATTGAAAATTGAACAGCGTCAGATTGAGGTGATTATGATCCGATATAAGTAATCATTCAATAGAGATTGTATGCTAATCTCTAGAAAGTATTTTAACTTATTACTGAGCATATTCTAAGAAACAATGTAAATAAAAGGAAATGATAGCAAGAAATTATGGACAATACAATTCATGATTGTATAAATATGTCAATTTGTTCTACATTTAAAAAACACATCATTGCCAGTAAAAATTATTTATAATATTTAAGATATTGTACAAATTTTTAATATATTAACCTATTATATCTAGTTAATGAGTATGTAAACTAATAGAATATAAATTAAAATTATAATTAAAATTATAAACGTTAACCATGTTTCCACTATATTTTTATAGCCAATCGTGTTATATTTATATCTCGAGATATAATACAAATTTTGTTGTATAAATTGCATATTCAATTGTCCAGAATTTTACATGAGGAACACGAATTAGATGATTAATACTAAAATCACCTCTAATCTTGCAAATAATGAAAAAAGAGCTATAACTATAAATATCGTTCCCAAATATTAGTTCTGCATACAAATTGTTATACTATAACTTTGATACCATACATGAACTGTTCAAGTAACTCCATGCGTTTATAGTAACAAACTAAAGCTGTGTGCTATGTATGTGGTGTAATGAAGGAACTTACTCGATTTCCGGTGAGCTGGGAAGTGTCCCTTGGATGTATGGTTCTGAAATCTTTTTTTGGGATATAGTTTGTCTGGCCTTGTCAGCAGGAACTGAGATGCTACGATTATAATCTATACTGCTTCCTAAACGGCCAGTGTTCTTCTTTTTTCTGTAAATATATTAATGAAATCCTAAATAATAATTTATTAGAATTTTCAATTAATACAATATTTCATTTTCAAGCGACGTTCACAAATTAGTAATGTTTTTTATTATTTTTTTAAATAGTATAATATAATTATTATACTGTTCATTTATAAAAAAAAAACATTCTATTAATATTTCTTAATAAAGTGGTATCAAATATAAAAATGTTGATAATTTCCAAAATTTATAATCATGTACTTCAAAAAACTCAATAAGAGATACGATTAAACACATTATTTCTAATTTTTTTTTATTGCTATATATAATTTTTAAACAAATTTCACTATTAGGTTTACAATCCTACTTTAATTTTAATTATTTATGATGTTTCGACATTGCCGAAATGTGGCATTTTCTTTTTTTAACGAAGAAAATTTATCTCCATCTTACAAATTTTATGACCGTTGTTTTTGTTTATGAAGCAATTTTTGAAAAACATTATAATAATGAAGTACTTACTCGCAAAGGAACCCATCTTCGAGCAATTCAGCTGCTGTAGCACGCTTCTCTGCATCCGAGATGAAGCAACGAAGAATGAAGCTTTTAGCTTTTTGTGATAGCTCATTCGGTATTTCCGGATGTATCTTGTAATAGCCAACCTGAGGTAGTTAATTATTGTTATTACACATTTTTTTATTAGCCGGATTGCCACCCATCTGGTTACCACCACTGGCTAACATTGCAGATATACATGAACAACATTACGGATACAACGTGGTCACGTGACGCCCGTGATCACACGCATTGTCATTCCAGTGTTTTACCGTTTTACCTCGATAAAACATACATCATTGTTAAATATTGTAACTTAAGTAACTTTGTTTCTCAATATATATGATTGAAATGAAAATATACAGAATCGGCTGTTATACTAATGAGAAAGATAGCTGAGTATTGATTATATCACTGAGTATTATATTTATATATAAAAATTACGTGTCACGTTGTTTGACCGCGATGGACTCTTAAATTACTGAACCGATTGCAAATTTAATTTGCATTTTGTGCAATTTATCCAACTTGAAATATAGGACAGCTTACATCTCAATTTATTGTCGCAATATTATTTTATTCAAGAACCTTAGTCAAAGCAATGCGTGGCCAAGTCTGATAGTAGCATATGGGATATATATACAACACAACAACAGGAGATAAGAGTTCGTGAGAGAGTCATGGAGAATAAAAGGTAATATTTAATCATTACATAGTATAAAATAAAGTGGCTATCGCTATCTGTCCCTATGTATGCTTAAAATATATCTTTAAAACTAAACTATCTTAATCATATATGTATATTCAGGGGCGTCACGTGACCACGTTGTATCCGTAATGTCGTTCATGTATATCTGCAATGTTAGCCAGTGGTGGTAACCAGATGGGTGGCAATCTAGAGGAAGGTATAAACCTTCCTCTAGATTCACTATATCTATTAAAAATATATAATACATGTACACCGTGCGAAGCCGGGGCGAGTATTTAGTACTATAATAAAAAAACCATACCTATATAACTAAGAGAAATATTTACATAATAATTATTAAAACATTTCATTACCTTAAACATGGCCGCGTGTGGTGAGCCTAATTCCATGAACGGAGGGTTACCAGTGGCCATCTCTACAACTGTGCATCCAAGAGACCAAATATCCGCCTGTAATACATTAATTTAGATAATTTAAAACAAACAATATTTTAGTTACTTATGCTGGTTTATATAATATTATTTGATAGGGTTAATGTATTAATAAACACTATTTATTTAGATAGATATATATTTTACTTTCTACTTTCTCTACCTACTCAAAGGTAATCTGGAAGACATCATCATTTATTACATCATTATCATTTATTTTTTTTGTTCAATAAAGAATATAAATAAATATATATATATATAACTACATTATATGTTATGAGAATAATAAAACACTATGCATGTATGTAATTTAAATAATCCTTTCATGAGTAATAACATTTTCTCAGTAAAAGTAAACGAATTTAAGAGAATTCAAGAAAATACTTTGGTATCATTAAATTGAAAATTGACCCACAAAGGACTAAATGACTTTAAACCCAAAAACTTACACATGAAAGTGAATAATATTAAATAACATCTAAATGGAATTTAACAAATTTCACATATATTTAGAATGAGTATATCCATGATAGATTAGTGTAACACAATAACAGATTTCCATTATCCTAAATCACATGGGCAAATCCTTTTGTAACAGCTAGTCTATCTATACTAATAGTACAAAGAGAGCGGACTTTATTATGATGGAAATAAACTCCTGAACCACTACACCTATTTAGGAAATTCTTTCACTTGAAAGCTACAGTATTTCATAGTAACATAGGCTATATTAATATACAGCCTATGTTATATTAACATGATCGTTAATATATATAAAAGTCATACATGAGAATTCGGGTGAAGCCGAAAGAATAATATATTAAAGAACTTACTGGTGCTCCATATCCTCTTTGGCCTTTATCAATAACTTCAGGTGCCATGTACTGCAAAGTCCCCGCAAATGTTTCCGTCGAAGGACATAATCCGGCCAATCGTTTCGATGTGCCAAAATCTGATATCTTTACGACGCCACTGTATGTATTCACGAGTACATTATCACCTTTTATATCTCGATGGACTATTTTCTGATCGTGAAGGTATTTTAAACCTGGAAATTTTAGTGCATTTATAAACCTGTAGTAATCTCCCCTTACAAATGAACAAAGAGGACTTTGTAAAGATGCTACATGGCAAGGAGGATAAGACCTTTATGGCAACAAATATTCATTTAGTTATTAGTTCTATTTCATTGATCTATTTAACAACTACGGTCTTATTACAAAAAATCTGTTAAAACTCGGACGAAACGTGGTCTAAATGGTCGTGGTTTAAACCATTCCTAAAGTTAATACTTGGAATAAACCTAACATTATTACGAATCCAGATCTAACAGAGGACTACTTAGTACTACGGTTAAATCGTTCATTATGTATTCCATACAGGAATCAGTCACTCATGTCTGTCACCGTACAATTACGTTCCATTTTACCAGAAAACTGAAAGGATCAAAAATAATATTAGTTCAAAGAAAAATGTATAAACTAAATATAAATTTATTTCTATTTATCTATGTCTTCATTATAACTATTTCATTAATATATAATATTTATTAATGTACTATTAGGCTGAAAATCAGTTTTAAATTACAAGTAGGAGTCCTATACGGAGAAAAGGAACGGCGAGATATTTTTATTGGATCGTTCGAATGGTGACTATTTCAAAGTCAAATGAGTGAAAAAATAACAAATAACGTCTTTTATATATTTTTATTGTCGTAAAATTTGCTTTAAATGTTTTTAGTTAATATATTTTTAATTTAGTTAAAATATTTTTCCAAAAACTACAACTTACAATAGAATTTTTAAAATGGAGTTTGTATTTTTGCATTTAGACCACTGTTAAACTAGGGGCATCGCAGGTCTAACTTTAGACCATAGACGAATCACGATTTAGAGATAAACTTCATTTTGTAATAAGGAATACATTGGTGAATGGTTTATTACTAGTGCTAAACCAGGTTTATCTTTTTGTAATAAGGCCGCTAGAGTTTATAACGTCACTAAAATTCATATAACTATTAATTTCATTTTATTTATCTATTTGCTGCATATTACACGCTAGTTAGTTTGTATTCACACGTTTCGACTTATAAATGTAAATTTACAACAATTATCTAAAAGAGCAACACGCAAGTTTTTTGCTCATTCTTCTTTTAATGAGACAGCTTTCCAAATGAGCAGTAGATTAAAATAAGATAACTATGACCACTCAAAGGTCCTTAAATTAAGTTTATTTGAGTAAATGATTTTCTATTCTATTTATCAATTATATTATGGTCTTTACATGATTTATACTATGAATCTTAAATTAGAATTTAAATGCACAAAACTTCTAAAATCTAATTTTAGTGTTTGATTAATACATCTTACAGTTTCCCTTTCATCGTTATTCCACATACATTTTAACATTAACGTATTTTATTGCTAAAAATTAAACTCTTAACTTTTGTAAAAATAAAGGTACCTTCCAGAATTTGTTTGGTATAATAAGCTATTGTCCCTTCATTTTCCTTCAGTGGACCCCATTTTGACTTTAATAAAGCTGATAACGAGCCTCCAGGCACTTGCTCCATGAATATTTTGAAATAGTTATCTTCTGATATAGAACCCAGGTACTGTAAAAGAAAACAAACTAATTTTTATCCATGGCAATATTATTATATATAAGGCTGGCTTACTAGAACATCATTGGTAAGAAAAATTAAACAAATTTCGCATAATATTTTTTGGTACATAGGAATAGTAGAAATATATTTGAAAATTTAACTCTTCCGAAAAGTTTGTATGAAATAAAAAATGCAAATTTTAAACTTACAGGTACTACTATTAATATTTCGAGATAAATATAACAACCCTATGTTACAATATAAGAATAATTTTGCTTTGTACATATAACGCGTTGATGAAAATATACAAAGTTGTAAATAACAGACCCTCAACACGAGAATCACTTACGGAACTTATTATTTATAATAATAAGTCCAAATTATTATATTTTATTATTTAATAAATCTCGTTCCGTGGGCATATTATTTATGGCTTAACTGTTTATTGTGTGGTTTAATAACATAAAGAAAAATTACGGTTGATAAAAATAAGCGTAAAGATTTTAGAGTAGGTCCTCGAGTATGACGGCGTAAGTAATTGTTACCTGCACTATATTCCTGTGCCGCAGCTGGGAGTGCAAAAGAATTTCCTCATGAAGAGGTTGTACGGCGCCGAGATTCTTCTCGGGGATCTCCTTGACCGCAATACGGACTTGGGTACGCAGATCCCGTGCGGCATACACCATGCCGTATGTACCTTTACCCAACACCACACGCTTGTTACAGTCATCCAACTCGTACTCATACTGAAATCAATGATTTAGATATGATATAGGATAACATACGACTTGGACAAGAAATCAATCGATGGCTCCTCCTTTTTTAAGTTGTTTGTAAAGTATTTGAAGACATATATAGAAACTGCTTCAAATATAATACACCATTCAATATGATTATTGATATTGAGATGTATCATCCATATGATGACATTCCAATTGCAATAATACATAGTATAGTAGTCGTTACGCTTAAAGCATACCAAGCAAACAGTAAAATTTCGCGATTATATGAAGCTGACAGCCAAAGTGAGTGTCGTCTATAAACTAAAATGGCACCAATGACATCACGTTATCATGTGACGTTCACAGTACCACTTATACGTTGTCATTCCGTAGGACTAAAGTGTCCTTCGTAGATGTAATTTCACTATCAAATCTCATACTTCAACTGAAACTCATCTTACAAAGTAAGTTGCTTGGCGATAAAAATAGCTAAAATAGAGGCGACACAGACAATCTTATAAAAAGTGTATCTTGTTTAAATTAACAATTCTGATATTACCGAATTTCATTAACTATATGTTTATACTTTATACCTTTAGCTGCTCCTGCATCACAGATGTATCCAAATCAGTTACTTTCTCATGGTCTGCTGTGAGTTCACCTAACAGATCGTGCAAATGTTGTCGATACAGTTCAGATGGTAAGAATATTTGGAAGTCATCTGAATTCTCACTCACATAGAGGAAAAGACATCGCTCATCGCGTTTATATAAACTGAAAACATTAAGAAGTAAATATAGAAAAGTTTTGTTGGTAAACGGGATGGTAAATTAGCATAAGATCTATCTGATATAAACACTATAGACAGCAGTTGCTTATTGCAGACTTTTGTCTCTTACAGAGATTTAGCATCAAACTAAAATACAATACAATTACATTGTTCGAACATCATTAATAAACAGTTATTGTAACAAGGTACAATATTCTTATAGTAGAAATATCTTTTAACAATTATCATAGACATTTGTACTATAAATGTGGTGATGACTTGTCACAATATGATTATTATTGAAAGGGCGTTATCAAATACATATATGTATTTTTTAGATATTTCCATTAATATAAAGGAATATACCTGTAACTTCTTATCATATCGGAGGTGAACAGCCATCGGTGCACTTGCCGACACTCCCTATGCATCGATTCCATACAGAGGTTGAATATTTCCACAGACTTTTGTTCAGCCCCCATGTTCACATTTACATACGACGGCATATATATTTTCGTTGTTTCCAATATGAGAACCTGAGACATGAAATATTTAATTATACTATCTAATATGTTGTAACGGAACTTAACATAAACAATTTAGACAGAGCACTAGTAAATTAGATATACTCAATACGATACATTGTAGCATAACTTCACATCATTCTCTTGAAATGCAATCGAAAATAAATGTTATAATCCAAGGTTAACTAATATATAGCTTTGAAGAATAATAAATGTGTAAAACGAGACTTAAATATTATTCTTAGGAATGAGACTTTCTTTTAGTCGTAAACAATCTGACTGTAACTTTTCCACATCTCATAGTGCATATAATTTAGATTTAATTATAAAATAGTAATTCTAACATGGTTGGTTCCGATTCAAGTAAATGATTTGATGAGTAAATGATTATACGATAATTATTAAGCAAAAATGGCGGCACACTCGACAATATCTATCATGCATTTCTCTATCAAAACTATGTAGTGGTGAACTTACTGGAAATCGTATTATATTTTCGCTTGTTGTTTTTGTAGCTTCCACAAAATATTCCATCCAAAACGCGAAAACCTTCTCCTCAGGTGTTAACTCTTCGTTCTTTTTCCTAAACCTGTTATAGAGAAAAAATAAAGGTAAATTGTGGTATATAATTTAATACTTATTTTATTTTATTTTTTTGTCTATTAGTTTAAATTAGATTAATTAAATGCACCACCACCACTGGTTTAGTCCCCGATGGTGACGTGAGTTTAAATCTGGCAAGCAAAAAAAAATGTGCATCCATTGTTGGTCTCGGAAACACCGAGAACAAAAGAAACGTCGGTAGACACGCCTCCAGCCATGTTATATTCAAATATATCCAGCGAAAAGTTAGAATGTCTAGTGCTGCATTCATCTCGACGTAAACAGTTGATAGTACTAGAATAGTAGTAGTAGTTTTTTTTATTTTATTTTATAGTATTATCTGCCGCTTCCTTTGTGGCGACATCCTTTTGGCCTATTTTAGTAGTAGTAATTGTAAAGTAAAGAAAAATTCACCTGTCGATCAACTCGATATTCCCAACAGTGGACTTCAGGTACCAATTAGGCGGTTTCAGTTTAAACATGCACTCGGCTGCTTGTATTGCTTTAACGTAATCCTGAGCAAGTACAGAAATCTCGAAAAACGTGGCAACATCCCAGTACTCTTTTAATGACGACAAACTGCCCTTTCTCCCTATCAGATGATTTAGAACCATAGCTGAAAATATTGGAAAGCGTTAGTCATTTCTTTAAATTTCTCTCGCTTTGTGAAAAGGGGCATATTGTGTAAAAAGAAATCGGGGAACGGCCATCAAGCGGTATTAATTAACTTTTCAAGAGGCCCAGATGTCATGTGATACACATCATATACGACTACTGAGACCATTATTTATAGTCTAGTATTTGGCAAGCTAAATAAAATATAACAAAAAGTTAACTATAGTTTTATTTTTTGTAAACATATTAATATTTCTATATTTTTTTACATGTTTATATTGGTCAAGATATTGAAAACTTTTTTAGTTGGCAAATTATAAAATTATCTAAAACATAAAACTTGATATCATATATAAAGCTAATTATCACAACTAGCCAATTAATTTACCTATTTGTTGCAATTCTTGAGAGTTTTTGAAGTCATTCCCCGCAATGACCAATAATGTGGCTAAATTGATTCCTGCATACTCATTTCTCTGTATTTCAAAACCCTGCCTATACCTGGAAAACAAAAATTATTGTCTGTTTTAAGAAGGTAAGAACATTTACTTCTGGCTCAAACTGTTTTTTGGATCTGTGGGTGACACTTTTCTTCTGTGGAATACAATAAATAAAACGCAACTCAATGTACATGACGTTCCAAGTACGTTGAGTCATATGTCATTATTACGTGACACAATTTACAACACTACACTAGTTTCGACCTTATGATTATTGTCTTAAGAAATTATATATATAAAGTATAAACAAAATATTACTACAATTTTACCATATTTTAATATTAATAGTTTTATAAAATAGCTGGTCGGACTCAATACATGTTCAAAGAGACATTTTTTATAATATGACGACAAAAAACATTTTATGTACATCCAAAAATATTTTTTACATATATGCAGATACAGAAGAATTAAAGAGCATGATGGAAGATCGCGGAAAGTGGCAAGAGCTCCACCGACAAGAGCGTAGCTCTTAAATTATGAATGAATGAATGAATGCAGATACAGCTCACTTTCGTAGTTGTAATTGTACAAGATAAGACTTTTGACCTCTGTAAGTTACTATCCAATATAACTAGTAAACGGTATATATTTTACTTATTTACCAATGGATGGCATTCTTCAAGCTCTCCATGTCCATGTGTTGAGATTCAATGAATTTGTCTTTATATATACGACCACACAAACACAACATATCCGGGAAACGATTTTCTTTTTTATCCAAAGCCTGTATGCACACTTTCAAAGCGTTCTCTCTATCGCCTTCTTTATTCCGTCTAAAAAGAATACAAACAAAATTAGATATTTTATGTATAATTAAGGATATTGTTTGCATAGTACTGATACATTTAAAATCAATAATTAATATAAATAAAAAAAAATCTTTTTATTTTCAACGCCGTCTAAAAATTGTTCTGTATTGACATGTCGTTTTTTATTATATTCAATTAATTTTGAATCACTATGTACTAAATAACAAACCTACATAAAACATACATACTACATTAACTGGGTTGGAAACCATTGTCTGATTCAAGAATTCCATGAAAATATCATAAAATATTTATTACTTATGTTTAGTCAAATATACAGTCTGGTAAAACTACTGGAATAATCTTTCAACCAACAAGAATTTAGTTATTACTAAAACTAGACTCCACTATTTTCAAATAATATTATACACAGTTATAATAAGTTAATACTTAAATTTAGTATGCCCACCAATGTATGCTACTATATCAAGATTACTAAACAAAACAATGTAATCGGGAGCCATAACTCACATTTTTTAATAAAAACTAAACAAACAAATTTCTAGATGTTGCATTTCATTTGTCGATTAACAGTACTAAAAATATTACAATTAGTCATATTAAAATAAACAACTTACGTACCTATTCATAGCAAATGCGTACATAAACCTAATAATAGGCATTTTAACATAATTCTTGCCACTGATAATCGTTTTTAAATCATCAACAATCTGCACTATTGCATCATAGTCTTGTATTTCTCGAAAAGATATAAGCATATTCAATATGGTATCGCCCGACAGCACGGCGGGGTCGTCCAGGCGTCGGCGCATAGCGTGAAGAACATTCGCTAGTTCTGGCCCGCTGTACGTTTCGCGCGCTTTACGCAAGTCTGAGAGAAACTTCTCTTGTAGGTGGGCTCTGGAAATAATAAAATTATCTCAGGACAAATCATACAGCGCCATCTAGGCACCAGCTAAGCAGAGCTTGTGTTGTAGATACAAGACGACTCATATAAATTCATTTTTTTAATCGTATATACACAAATAATATATATAGAACAACCAGACCAATAAAAACAATCACACTCATCTATACAAATGTTGTACCGCGGGAAATAACTGAACCCGCCACCATTGGTAGGAGGGCGGTACTAAACAGCTAGAGTACCGAATCCATCAATTACTAACATATCAATAGAGTAAAATATAGCAGTCCAAATACAGGGTATGGGGATAACAGATTAGTCCTCATGAAAAGAAAAGCAAAATGTAAATGTTAACTAGATTCTATTTTTCCAAACTTAGTAACATATTTGTATCATCGCGCACGTAGAGACTGCTATAATACTATTCCAATAAAAAGTAAATACCTCACGATATTTACTCATATAATATTCCATATTTACATTAAGACAGATTTGTTAAGGATTGGAATAAAATGAATTTAATATTAACCAAACATCATAATAATACATTTATAAATGTCTTACCATTAATTTGTAAGTAATTATTATATTATATTATTAAAAGTGATAATCTGTATAATTATTCTTTAATAAATCAAATCGATTAATACAAGAAGAGATCGCTATTTCACGATAAGGCCACCTAGTTACTACCTCTTTGAATGGCTTATTATTGTAATACATTTTTATCTTTTTATATAATGGATATACGGATGGAACAATAGAATTTTAATGATTGAAATAATTATTATGTTAGCAACAATTTCAATTTTTCTGTAAGACCTTGCTTTTAATAGTAAGGCTGCATATTAGAACTAATTTTTTTGTACTTAAAATTTATATTTTTAAAATTTTAAAACCTTATTATACGTATTCAAACATGTAGTAGTATAGTGTACGAGACATAAAAACTCTTTTGTATTTTTGAATTTCGAACGCGTACCATTCATTGGTTTTACGAATAGAAATATTATTACTGAGATGTGAAGATACCATCATGGTATTTATTTATCTCCACAATTTAACTATCTTTTATACATATGGTATGTCTATTGTTGTTATTTCCTTTCCTTTTAGACCACATTAATAACATGTATTCATTCATTCATAATTTTAGATCTGCACTCGGAGAGCCACGGTGGATATTTTGCCACCTACTGCAACTTCTATCATTATTTGTCGTAAAAAAGCTACTTTCATTCCTGTTTTTAATTGGTTAATATACAATCGGAACGCCAGTATAGTAGGTATTGGGATGATAAACAAAGGATACAATTAAGAAATTTGCATATTCATTATAAACAAAATTAACTGCCATCAAACATAATTAATAGCAGACCTTGAACCTTGAACTATGAGTGATCAATTATATGGAATGGATATCAGAATAATTAATAAATCGTCACTGTGTACGATTCTTTTTAGTTATTTAAGCAACGTTTGTTTACCGTGTAGAAAAAAATATGGTATGATATTTGAAAAGATGACATGCAAAAAGTATTAATCTAAATATATATAATTCAAAGGTGGCTGACTGACATAGTGATCTATCAACGAACAGCCCAAACCACTGGACGGATCGGACTGAAAGTTAGCATGCAGGTAGATGTTATGACGTAGGCATCCGCTAAGAAAGTATTTTTAATAATTCTACCCCCAAGGGGATAAAATAGGGGATGAAAGTTTGTATGAAACTTAGTCAATTTTAAACCGATCGGGCTGAGACTTTGCATGCATAAAGCTACTATGACGTAGGCACATCCCCTAAGAAAAGAATTTGATAAATTCCACCCCTAAGGGGATAAATTAATGCGAGCGAAGCCACGGGCAAAAGCTAGTTATTAATAATAATCTAAGGCAATACACAATGCCGTCTTAAAGTTTCAAACTAAATGTTTGAATCTTGTGCTATATATCTGTAAAATGAATATTACTCAAACAATTTTTTAGACATATAATTTAATACTATAAGATTTCATTGGTTTGAGTATTTTCTACATTGTACATAGAAACCAAACCAATACAAACAATTGTACCTATGAATACAAATTTGGTATCCTGCGGGGAATGAAACCAGCTACCATCGGAAGTAAAGCGATGTGCTACACCGCTCAGATATGACGTTTGATAGAGACTGTTGACATTCTACGCCGACCCCAAATAATGGGATAAAGGCAACTACAGCAAAGCAATGACGATGAGTTTATTTATTTGGCGGAAGCATATTCCATTATTAAAACAGTTTTAGAAATAGGTTTTGTTAAAAATAGTCAATTTAGACTATAATATTTTTGAATCATTAACCATAATGTAAAAGTAATACTAAAACATAAACGAAAATGTTAACAAATTATATTATAGGCATTATAATATTATATATATACTTTATTTTTCTAAAACAAAATAATGTTTCTAAAATAAAAGTAGCCCAAGTTACTACTTATTACATTAGCTAGCTGCCAAAAAAAGTCCCGTCAAAATGGGTTCAGACATTAGCCGGAACAAACAGACCGACAGACAGACAGACAAAAATTGTAAAAAGTGGTTTTTTGTGTATGTACCGTATTTATAATCATATGCATGTAGTAAAAAACGGTTATTTCGATATTACACACACACAAATAAACACTCCAATTTTATTTTTATGTATAGATTATAAACTTAGTTACCTACATCAGTATTTTCAATTTTACCATTGCACAAAGGATAGTGGTTTTTCTTCATATACTATACAATACATACATAATGAACCCTAATTTTGGAGTGTATTGATAATAATATTCAAGACTATATATATACATATACATATAGACAGTTGCATATAAGGTAACCTGGTATAAACAATAATACATTCAACTTACTTTGTCTGTATTTCAACATCCTGCAATACATTCTTTAGACGCAATGTAAGATGCTGTTTGGGATCAGGCGTTTCTTCCCCCTTAAATTTTGTACCTGCCGGATTTGTGACTACACATGTGTTCATATCCGAAAGTTTGTATGACACAAACAAAAAATTAGGAAGAGGTGTCTGTAAAAGAAAGAGATAATGATAATAACCCAGGAAAATTTATACAGCGCCATCTAGTCCCAAAGTGTACAGAGCATGTACAACGGGTACTAAACAACTGATAGAAATATTTAACACATTATTTCGGGAAACACATAATATAAGTACATAGGAAATACCCTAGCCTAACGATCAATGGATGTATGACGATATCCTAAGCTACCGAGAAAGTTTATTGACATTAAATATATTTAATTCATATCGGACATTTTTGTCACTAATCCATATCAATATTTTTTATCACTATTTCTGAAATATTTCATTCAGTTCGAACATCCGTTAGGTGACTGTACGAAACTGAAAATAAACGATAAACCATATACATAATCTATACATATTATAAAACAATTATCCCCGTCGCATCTGTTTATATATCTGTGATAATTTCAAAACCTTTACTTAACAAATTTCCATGCAGTTATCATCAGATTTAGGTGTATAATTCGTTGACCTGAACTAAAAACAGTTCCGGTCGATAGATACATACATAAAGCCAAAATAATGAAGACTGTAAGGCCGTTCCATTATAGAGTTTAGGTATGTACCTATCAATTTAACATGTCAGATTGACGTCGACGTATTCCCTTCGGGAAATCAACATGGTTACTTATTGGTGAATACACCCCTGATGGACTAACTGACCTGACTTCCACTGAGCTCAACCTGTCATCTTCCAATGATGCAACTGTGCACAGGCGGGTGCACTATTATTATTAAATGTTCATAGATTAAAAATAATAATTTGGATACACCAATACTCACAGCATCATCTAGTCCCAAGTCAAGCAAGGCTTGTGTTATGAACTTATGAGTACTAACTGATATAAATATTTAGATAATTTTAATTTTGGTAATATCTACGTAAGATCCATAAAAAAATACCAAGACTGATACAAACTATCATACTCATGAATAAAAATACAAATAGTTTATGCCGTGAGGAATCGAACCGGCGATCGTCGAAAATAAAGCGGTATCTAAACCGCTAGACTACCGAGGTTGTCAAAAGGCTATATACTGTTGAAAGTATAATGCGGCCAGCATTATACTTTCAACAGTATATAGCCTTTATTATGGAAAATATCACTTCTGTATCTAAGTTTAGGTAGTGCAGTATAATGTATATCCCATTAAAGTTTGATAATTTTCTAATGCGTAAATCTTTATTTTCAAAAGATACGATCGTAAATTATAGTTTTACAATTATACCTAAGTATTATTTTATTTCATTTAGGTTATCAACGGTTGTTTGATGGATTACGAATCTCTATCAAGTTTTACGTAATTATGTGTTTACTTACGTAGATAGTACTGTTGACTTTTAAAATAAAGAAGCAATACAATGAAATGCATTATTTAGTTTCGTTTATGATGTTAAAAAAATTAAAGGATCCTCACAATTTGTTCCTAATAATATGGATTATCCTAAATTAACACATAGATTTAATTATACTTTAAGGTATTCAAATCCGGCTACTAAATAGCATTATCAATGTATAAATATAAATGTTTGCCTAACTACTATCAAACTGATAATTATAAAAGTAAACTTCGTTTTAAAAGGCACTTGAGAATAAAATACTATGTGGTGATTAAAAATAGCTGTAATACAGCACTACTGTTCAACCGTTGTTACCATTAAGACGAGTCGTAATGATATATATCATTACGATTCCGATAACAAAACTTTAATTTGTGTATTTTAACAGTTTTATATTTTCTTGGCAGTTGACCTTTACAGCTTCCCCAGAAGATAGGTGGCGAGTGCACTCCAAACTCGCGGAAGGACTTATGGAGCGGCTCAAGGCCCGCCTGACGGATACGACTAAGCACAGCTAGGGGTTCGAACCTCGACACTGGCCGTCGTAATTTCGGGATGTAGACGAGGGATCGATCGGAGAGGCGACCGGGGGCGCCGTGGAATTTAATATTGACAAAACGAGAATGGAATTATACTGCAGTAATCGTTGTAAAAAAAAATATCAAAATCAGTACAATATACAAAATAATTATAATTCAGAACAAACTATTGTTTGATGTCGCTTGCAAAGTAACATCGTACCAGTAGATTGCGCATTGAAGATAAAAATTTCAAGGTAATAATAGGTGTAATTCAATAAAGGACACGAAGAGCTCTAGGCAATTGGCAAATTGAGTGCGACAACATATTACTACTCATAGACGATGTTGGTCATATTTATTTAATGTAGTTCGAAAACGTAAATAAATTTAATTTATTACGTGTGTTTTACAATTAGGAAGGTGGGTGTATACTTTGTGTAATACATATTTACACACGTTTTTCAAGTACGTTTACAACCCACTTCCGATAAGAAAGATCTTCTAACTTTGACTGTATGTTTTATTACGTGTGTTTATTATAACTTGTCTATGTGTAACGATTTTGATAACTCTTTTTTTATTTCAAAGCTGTGTATGTTTCATATTTCTCAAATTTCTCCTATCCCTAATGATGCGATTAGTCGGTTTTTTCGTGACCTAAACACGATAATTTGTAGAAAATACATATTATTACTATGTAAATACAAATAATAAGGCAATCCAGGACCTCTCAGTAGTTTGACGCATCTTTTATTACCTGGAAATTCATTCATCATTCAAAAATGGCAAAATATATTGCAGTGGTAGGTATGCAATATATTAATTATTATCCATTACGTAATTATTATAATATTTGCCAATATTTTAACAAATTTTTTTGTCACGCTTAACCAATCAAAGTGAAAAAAGACAAAACTTCTTTAATTTCGATCTATACTGGTTTGGCAGGCGAAAACGCAGATCAAAGCTAGTATGTATTACAATGTATTAATAATTATTGTATTTCCAATTTGCATGCTGTATGAATTTATCAAAGTATGTGCATCATAAAATTTTCATTATCATGTCTTATGCAAATAAAGATAACAATTTTTTATTTGTGCAACTGAATCTCAAGCAACCCATATTTTTATCTATAAACAAGCATTTTTATAATTGTTTTTTAATGGTAAATAAAAATGACACTCCATAGAAGGGTATCAAAATAGAAGTAACAAAAATTATCAATATTAGATTTAATTTCCCTCTGTAACATAAGTATAACATTAATATTTATATTATAGAGTATATATAATATTAATGTTTGACAGCCTCTGTGGTCTAGCGTTTAACACACCGCTTTATGTCCGATGGACGCGGTTTCGATCCTCGCAGGGTATGATTGTTTGTTTTGGTTTGGGTGTATTCTATATATATATTGTGTATATACAAAAAAAATCTAAGTATTTATACCAATTCTCTAGTACCTATTTACACAAGCTCTGCTTACCGTGGGACTAGATTGTGTCATAAGGCTGTTGTCATAATTCAGGGTTACTTATTTATTATTATTATATATATATATCCTTTAAGATATATAGTGCACAAGCCGGGCTAATATTCAGTTTTATTATAATTATAATATGATTTCTACTATGGTACCTTAAGTCGTCGAGTGGAATCAGGATCGATGTCATTATATAGCAATACATTTTGTTTCATGTCAAAGCTCTCTCTCACACCCAAATGGTATAATAATGTAATTTGTTGCATTTGTACACTAAGATCAACAATTGCCACATCAGCATTATAAAATGTATCCAGCACAGTTGTCTCTCCAAAATCCAGCTTCTCATACTGAAATCAATAAAAAACCATTAAGTTTTACCAATGTGCTTCTCTATATTATATGATAAGGTTCTACATGTGCAAGGTTACATATGGCCTTCAAATTCAATATTTTCTTTTCAATAACAATCATGCATATTGATGTTTACTTGGTGTTAGTAGCTAGCGGTTTAGCACACCGTCTTACTCAGTGGTCATTTGACTTTTCATGTAATGCAACAATTGTATTGATGAATCTGTATGTTTGTATTATTATGTGTGTTCTATGTATATTATGTATGTATTTACAAAAAAAATTAATTAAGTGTTCTGTGGTTGTTATGTCTCAACACCAGACAATGATGGAACAATAACTCTGTTATTGGCAAACCTTCAAGTATGTACTATAATGGACAGTACCCATCATATACATTGTTTTATTACTACTTGTACAACTAGCTCTCGCCATTTAATATAAACATTACATTAAAATAGTAATTGTTTTGAAACATATTAACTTATACACACTTTAGATAAAAAACAAATTACTACAATATATTACAACATTGAGGTGCTCTTCCGTTAATATTAAAAAAAAATACAACTTTCTTGTTGTAGTACATGATATTTATGTATTATATATATTAATTGTAAGTGACAATATATTGAAACAACAGTAGTGTCAATGTAAACCTATCTGGCAGTTGTATCCATCCCATGAGTTTTTAGGTGATAATATTCTACGGACTGACACAATGAATCTCATACACAAAGTACTTCATGTGAACAGCACTATTAGGTGAATTCAATTAAATTAAACAAAAAAACTACAGAAAATTTTTCTTCACAAATGGAGTAAATAAATTGAATTAAAAAATATTTCCACTGCTGCTACTGATATTCGTAATAAATTAACATGCTTAGAAAACAGCAATAAACTCGTAAACCCTATGAAACAATATTTAGATACAATTTATATACAAACGTGATGTCTATAGAACGACACCAATGTATATACATATAATATTCATAACAAAAACTTACACTAATATAATGAAGATTTGCATTGACTAGTTCCGCAGCCATTCGGACTTCTTCCAAAGCCCTTTTCCTATGCGACAGATTTGTTGTTTCGGTGATATCCAAGACACAGGCGATGTCCATACGAGGCCTTTGGTTGGTGGCCCCTGGCTGAACGGTAGCATTAGATCCATCACTGCCAATACTTTCACAAATGCTTCTCACTTCGCCTATAATTTTAATTATAAACAATAATACAGTTTACAGATTACTGAAAAAAAAACAAAGTTGTCGCAAACCAAAGTTCACCAATATTATCAAAGTTCACGACTACAGTACCCGTGTCTTCCAACGCCGTGGTGCTCGCAGCGCCGAATGTTATCATTTTTCACTTATATTTTAACATTTGGATAGTTTATGAGCGCATTTTTTCCACTCAATTTACGCAGTTTATAAATAAATCTCGTATCAATCAAGCAGGACAGCCGAGAAGTTTGCTTTGCTATTTGTTATTTAACAGAATAGTGATGTGCTCACTCCCATTGTTTGTAGCTCTTTCCGTTACTATCACTAGTTCTCTACTTCACAGTCAATACTGTCGGTTTTGGTGGCGTTGATTTTAACTGTTAATTTTTTTTATAGCTACCTAAAGTGTGGGTTGGATTCAAGTTTACTTTGAATCTGAATTCACGATAAATATGAGCATCTCAATAAAAAAATATTTTATGGGCGTTAAGATCGCATAATTGTTATGCCCAAATTGCGTGTGTTCATAAACTGCAAGGAACATAGTATCTACTTATACAGTTCCGACATACGAAATGTATTACTATTTCTATATTAAAACGTACATACTTATTATAATTTATAGGTATATTTATGATGATTGTATACCAAATAAATTTTCTGGTTTGTATTTTGAAACTGTCAAATATATAGGTATACTACCTACATATTAGGTAAAATTTGGCTATAATTGTGTAATATTAACAAATTAATTTGGTAGATTTTTTTCTGTAGATGTACTTTATCAACCTAATTGTAATTTTGACTTTTGATTGGTTTTTTAATATCATCTAATTTATAAAGTAGTTCAAGAATTTTATGCAATGAATTTTTACTTTATTCATTGTAAAGTATAGGTTATTACTGGTAATTGGTCTTTATATGCAGCTGAATGAAATGAACTAGACACAATATGAACTATAAGATATCAACAATGGACAGGCCTACGGCGACCTTGAGATTTCAGTTGTAATTATTGTAATAAGCGCCATCTGTACTGAAATATGTAAACTATATAGACTAGTTTGACTATTCATTACTAGCGCCATCTTGACGTACATGTGGGTACTCATAGTAAAACATGCAAATAATAAGGAAGATTATGTATTATTCATATTTATGACTTCTAGTGATCTATGTAGTTCTAGCTATGAAATAAAAAAATACCAGAAGATGGAGAACTTTTTTTTAATATTTATTATTAGATTATATATAATCTACCTACACTAAATTCGAGAGTAGATTGATATGCTTTACAGCGAACAGACCTTTTGAATAGTAGATTTAATAGTACCTAACTCTAGATTTCCGGTGAATTCTGTATATAACGTCAGGTAAAAAATGTGCGCCGTTACAATTATTTCGTGGACAAATATTTAATGGAACATGTAGTACAGGGCAGTGGCTGGGAGGATAAGATGCAGCGTGTTTGTTAAGGCGACAGTACGGCGATCTTAGTGCATCCAACAGAGTAGGTCGGCAGGAAGAATAAGAAAATCACTATACAAATAAATAACTACAATATTTTTTAAATTGCCTCTCTAAGTGAATACAATCATAGTAACAACCACTTAACATCTCAGAGGGAAGTCAAGTGGTTGTTATGGTCTGCTCAATCTGGTCACGGGACTTCCCTTATAAGTGCAGGAAGTGGCCCACTATCTCCACGCTGTACAGTACAAATAATAATCATAGTAACTTTATTCATTATATTGTTTACATAATTTTTTAAGCCATGACTGGAGATCTCCTAACCCATAATTAATTCACACAACGCCATTTAGCCCTAAACTAGAGAGAGCTTGTACTACATAACACTGAGTATTACCAATATTATGTTATCTGTGATATTACATAGAAAGCACCGAAAACGTACAATCGTAGTTATGAATACAAATGTTTATTACGTGCAAACACACCGCTATTGAAATTAAGTGCTAAACTACTAGACCAATGAGGGTGTCTATGTGGTTCAGTAATTTAAATTACGTGGTATGAAAAAAGTGACAACGTATTTTGATTATAATAATATATATGTTTTTACTATCCATTATATATTTTAGCGAGATAGACTTTGTACTAATTTGTACAGAATTGCAGATACACCTAGTTCTGATGCAAAGGAACCTACTTATTTTATACGTGTTTCGGTTGAATGGTAAGATAAGACAATGACATTACAAGGTACATGATATCTTTGTCTTCCAGAATGGTAAGGCAAAAGTGATACAACGGGCGCCACATGATTTACGATCGTACCAGAGTCCAGGTCTTCAAGTGACACTATAGTATATTAGGATATAAGTGCGTTATAAGTCACTGTTGTAACACTTATAACACACCAGGTGGAATTTTAGCCCGAGCCGAAAACGAGGGCGTAATAAAGCCGAGTGTGTTAAGCCTAGTAGCCTAAGTAGTGTCGTAAAAACCTATAAGTGTTTGTATAGTACGACGTTTTTCAACACACTTGCGAGGAGGGAAAAGCATTGTTAATAAAGTGAATTAATTATTCCATTGTATGGTAATGTACCGAGTCAGGTTGACCTCCACGCGGTTCCCCCTGGAAACTATCGTGATAAATTTGTGGACAATTTGTCACGATGGGCCAACTGACATAACCTCATATTCATTCAGTGTTACCACAGCTGGTGCCCCGCCAGCATAAACCGTTAGCGCAGGCAGCACCATTTCGTTATCATACATAAAAAAATTCAATTGCGAGGAAATAGAATAAAAATTCATGATATTATATTTTGTTAATTTTCAACTGTGATGCACACTTCCTTTCGTACCGTTTTACTTTTTTAAATCATAGCGCACCGTACCGCTGGCGCCGCGCGGCAGTCAGTTCGAAATTGATAAAAAAAATAGCAAATAGTGCAATTAAGGAATATAACTTCACTATTAGTGTTTATAACGCACGCGTGTTACATGAATTATATATTGAAAACCGGTGAAATTAGATCCAAATTACAAGTAATTAAAAAAATAACTTTGCATATATAGTAAGTAATGAAACTATTCAGTAATGAAATGAATTTGTAATGAAACAAACATTATTATTTAAGTCTTTAATAGTATCTACTTCCATTACATATAAATATAAAGAGTACCTCTTTAATAAGAGATATCACAGTAAACGGAAACACAAGTACGAATACGTCATAAAAGATATCTATATATATATAGGTACAGGTGTTGTAACCAATACAAATACAATAAGAAAATAAAACCTTATACATGTATAATGTTAACTCTATAGAATTGTACCATCTTTATAATATAATAAAATTATGAATTATAATTTTATTCTATTATAAAGGTGGTACAATTTCGTATAAATATATGACCGAATAAATTATAACAATTCACAAGAACATACTGTTTGGTGTCGGAAATTAATAATTGTCTGAATTGGCTAGATATATTCACATATGTACCTATAAGTAGGTATTAAATATACTTATAACAATTGGTTTCCAATTGTAATACAGATTGTAGTACAGATTAAAGAAATAGATTGTAGTATTTCTACAAGGTTAATATAAGGTAATAATAAGGTTAAAAAAAAGTAAAAAACTTTTTAATTTGACTCCAGGTACATTTTTTATTAAGTATAAATTAATAAACCTTAAGTCAATATTATACTTATATTCATAATATTTATGACAATTTTAATTATCATAATTTATACATATTTGAAGTATGTAATTACATATTCAGTAATTATCTAAGTGCATAATACGAGCTGGTAATATCGTGTCTTTGGTAGTTTTTTATTTAAAATAATTTACATAATTTATGAAATATGAAAATACAAAACAAATGTCACATTGAAATATATTATTCTAATAATATTTAAATTATATTTATATTAGTTAATAACATAGATTGTGTACTACATTTACCCTTAACTTTCATAATCTACTGGTACATAGACTACTACTTGCCAAGAATGATTTTACGTGAGGCGCCAAAGTTCTGTCCTGACTGTGTTGCCACCTTGTTAGTACCAGCCTGTAGTCCTATCACTGTCTGCCCTGCTCTAAGAACATCCTCACTGAACTCCCGACGGTTCTCTTCTGCGGGCTTAGGTCCTAGGAAGGGACCACGCCATTCCGGGTGTTTGTAAGCCTGGAACAATAAAATTATTATGTACCCAGCATAAACATCACGTACAATATAAAACTTATAATTAAAACTAATAGTAATCGATTCGGCGTCGTTTTTATATATATCCCTGAGTTCAAAAAGCATCATCGAAATCGGAACAAAAAATGCTGTCGAATTGAGAACCTAGATCCTTTTCAAAACTGGTTAAATACGTTGATAGAGTTTTAATGGAGTATTTTCAACAAAACAAACAAACAAATAGTTAACATTTAATGTAAATGTCTCTCTATTTTGCAAGTAAGTATATAGGTATCTATACTAGGTACCTGCATAATAGCACAAAAAATATATAATTTTTGCTGTAATAACAGTGTCAATATGCAATACGCAATGAAGCTACATAATTTAGATATCATACGTAAATACTTCAGTAATTAAAGAGTCAATAATCTGAATTTATATAATAGTTTTATAAATTAAGATTATTGACTCTTTAATCATCACATCACTAATGAGATTTATCCTCTCTACATACTTTATACAATAATAATAATGTTATTGCTATCGTAAATTATATATTACACTGTATCTGTGAAGTACACGATTAACCTACAAGATAACATACTGCTTGCGTTTGTTCGTTTAGTTTGTAAATTTTACGCGTGGATATGAAACATGTCAGATTAATCCCACACAACAATGTTATGAAGTCTGGTATGTTAAAATCTCATACACGAATCCTATTTAATTAATCTGCACTATTAGCACCTACATCCGCTTCGTAAGCTGAAGGTTTTTGTTACTTTCTTTGAAAGCGATAGACATGTTTTCTTTGAAGTTGACGATAAAAAATAAATAAAAGAGAACGAAGCGATAAAATAATAGATAAATAATAACACTGATATTAGTGGAAAAGTTTGTTTATTGTCACTCTAATATTACTTAATGGGAAGAACTAAAGGAGACGAGAAGGCGTGGGAAACTGTAAAGGTTCGAGAGTGTTCAGAATTACAGCAAAACGTGAAATACAAAAATAAATATGTCGTTTGTACTAAGCGATAATTGCCGTTAATGCTTATTAATTTATAAATTATAACAGTTATAAATTAATAATTAAGGTTATGACTCGGGCAGATGCATGATTAAATGCAATGCAGTTGTTTGAGTAACGAGCGTGGTAACTATTTCTTCCATCCATCGCACGGTATCCACACAAACGACTTTTGACTTTTGACAAATATACATAGATAAATAACAACTATTTATTGAAAATGTGTTATAACCAAATCCCTACTTGTTAGCTTTAATATGCTGAACTATGTATTATGTATTTCTTTTTCTTAAGATAAACAAAGTTATTATGAATAAGCAAAATACGAATAAATGCCGCCCTTTTAAAGTGATGTACATACGTACATTCGTAATTATACATATTGAGATTTATTTAGATTATTCTTAATATAGTTTATTTATATATATTAAAGATATATGTAGGTGATATCTTACCGTTCTGCCTAAAGCGAAGATAGTCTGTGTGACAAGTGCGATGTTTTTCTGATCCCAAAGATCCGTTGTTTGGAAGAGATCTACGTCGGGTACTCCGTATTTCACGCAAGCCTTTTGGAATCTAAAAAAAATAGTATAATTTATCTCCTTGTCTACTCTGCAAAGGATCTGACGTGAAGAGATTGACAACAAAATAACTTTATTCATCTGCAATTTTTAATGAATTTTAATATAGGAACAACACGATAGTCAATCTTATTGAGTAATAAAAGAAATGCAGGCACTAGTCTCCAAAAGTCGATTGAAAATGTTCTACTATTCTATCTACACTTTTTCAGTATATTTGTAGACCTATAAATGGGATTTTTTTTCACATTTATTATTGTTACTTTTCCTGTATTAAGTTTTATACGTACTGGCTGATATTGTCCATAAACTTGTAATCTCCCCCGGAGATGTTGACTTTGGTGATGATACCAGGTTGTAGACGGTTCATCAGTTTGCACAAGATGATACCATCGCGAAGAGCCTCCTCATAGGCATAGCCTTGTGGGAACCTTTCGCCGATTACGGATTCGATCCAGCTTTGCGCCTCGGCTTCCTTCTCAGGTTCGCGCTTTCCAGCACACTGAAAATATACAAGGACGTTTTACTGACTGCTAGCTGTATTTTTACATAAAGGTTAACCTATGTCCATCCTCGTGATATTATCATCTATATTCGCGTTAAATTTCATACAGATCTCTTTCAGCCGTTCCGTCGCAAACTACCTTTTTACCATAAAAGGATACTGACTAGCAGACCCACTTTCGAATGTAAAATATTAATACACATGGTATCTTATAAAATAAATATTTTAATGTCTAATTTCCAAGAAGAAAGAAAGAAGGATAGAGTATATTTTATTTGGAAGACACATGTTGCAACAGTAAACAGAAAATATAGGTAATCGAACACATGGGGCACTGTAAGAAAATTACCTTTCTTGCCAAATTATTTTTCACACAGTCGCTACAACTTCTAGACCTTGATTTGTCTTTATGACCAATAAGATATGATAAGGGCATTCAAGGACATATATATAAAAATATACAATGTAACCTAAAAATTATAATATGTAATTCTTTTCAGATGCCTATTTTGGGGATTACAAATCATGATAGAATTGATTACGTTGTCTAATTTAAATTTTGTACTTTAAGCTATTAATATAATTTATACAATTAAAAAATATATTACTTTTTTTATGTACATCGATTATTACTTGGTGGCACGACATTTGTCTTATAGTTTTGCATTCTACCTTTTAACAATAGATTTGTAATGTTAGTCACGTTTCATAGCATCCATAAAGGCAGTGAGTGTTTATTGTTGTTTTGGGATCGTACTACCATCGACCGTCCTGTATCAATATTTGTTCTGACCATGTGATCATAATGTCTCATCTACTACGTCAATAGATAATAAATCTATGACTGATGATATTAAGTATACTCGTAGATATAAATAAGTTAAAATGACAGTAGGTATAAATATAAACAATTGACTTTAAAATGACCGACGTTCTTTCAACCGATTTTATAGTACCACAGATAAGATAATATGACAAATGTACTTAGAACGAAATGAATATGAATATTATTTAACTATACACATTATTTTATTTATTAACGATATAAAAAGTTACAAGAACGTTTAGGTCACAAATAATTTCAAAATTATTTTGCGTGTACTGTACCAGAAAAATAAAAAAATTGATAAATCATTATCATTACATAGTATAAAACAAAGTCGCTGTCGTTGTCTGTTCGTCCCTATGTATGCTTAAATTTTTAAAACTACGCAACGGATTTTAGGGCGGTTTTTTTAAATAGATAGAGTGATTCAAGAGGAAGGTATTATATGTATAATTAATGTACACCCGGGCGAAGCCGGGGCGAGTAGGTAATTAATTATATATTTTTGTATTGAAAATATGCTTCTAAATTGCATAGTCTATGCCCTACGTCTTTAAGCTCCACAAAAATGTAATACGGAACCGTCCCTTGCTATCGGATTTTATACGTTCAATATAAACACAGGCAGACTGTACAACTGTACGTACATAAGTATGAGTAATATAATGTTTATTAAAACATTTACAGCGTATCCTTTCGCATGGTTAGTGCGTGGTAGTGTACTTAATTCAATATCTATGTAATTTAATTTTAAACTACAAATTATAAATTAAAAAATTATTTTTATAAGTTAACTAAAAAATATAAATTAAAAACATTGTCAAAATACAGAAGAATCAGAATAGTTGTGACAATGCTTTCCTTGGGAATAATATGTGCAGTGTTATTTTATTATACAGCTCAAATTCATCCTGTTTTACTCGTATTGTTATTAATTAGTATACCGAAGCATTTGTCTTTAATATTATGAAGATGTTGTAATAACAGGAGATTATTATTTATTAAACAAACAATAAACGTAAATGTTAAATGCGAGTGGGATTGTATAATAGTTTAAAAGAAATGGAAATGCAAAACAAACGGAAATGGGATAATAAAGAAAGTGATTAATATGAAGCATTGAAGATATTATAAGGTATATAAGATTAAATTATTGTTGGTCTATGCTCTCTATGATCAATAAATTATTGTGTTTTGCTGTCTTTGGTCTATAAACCATTATATTGTATAAATAAAATTTTACTTTGACTACATAATCACAAACATTTATGGAAAAAATAGAAAAGAAATAATAAAAAGTGACAATGTGGTTATAGATGGAAGAAGCAGTGAAGAAGGCTGCTTTGTGGCTAATACGGAATTAAATAATTCCTTCGCTAAAACAAAGTAAAAACTACAGTAGGTACAAAAATTTACAAAATAAATATAAAAGTGATAATTAACGTGGACTACGTAACAAATTCAACATCGCCAAGAAACTTGTATCAATTGACAGAAATGGACAGAAATATGGCTATTATTAATACCTATATGTATATAGGACCGTATATAAGGGTTATAAGATTACAATGTGTAATACAGTTTATCAAATGAAATAAATGTTATTAACATGATTGGACTTTATTATTAACAATATTGTTCTTGGAATTGAAGAGGACAGCATATATTAGTGAGGTAAATGCTAAAAACTGTACTAATGTTATGATTATTAAGTGCTAATAGATACTTAAATGTTTATTTTCATCATTAGCTCATCTCTACACATTGATATCCCAAAGAGACTTTAGACTTTATCTACCAGTATAAATATCTATGGCCAGTGTATTTTTGTTATAGATATAGACTGGTGTGTTCATCTATCTTATTTGTATGTGCTGATGTGACTGGAGAATGACAGCGTGAATGTGAAAGGACTGACTTCATATCCAATTCGGGCAAATTTACCAGTATACGTTTTGCTAAGTGGATTTTCAGGAAATTTTAATAATCCCGTGACGCCCTACAACGCTAAGTAATTACAATTGATTTTAAATGAAGCGTTATAATAAAATAGTCCTTTATACATTTTTAATTATTAATTTTTCCTATTTGGGTATTTTTTGATGAATTTTGAAGAAATTATGAGTAGTCTATTGTTTACAATGATTAGATAAAATTAAAACTTACTCCCCTTTACTGTCATCTAATATATTTATGATCCCACTTTATCTATTTATAAACAAATGCGGATTTATCTATAATACCTATTGCTGCTCTACTGCAGATAAAACGTTTTCATAGATAAGTCCGCGTTGTACGTATTCTATATCAATGTACTTAACTATTTTGTCATTATAATCGTAGATCGGCGTTGTACTCCAATTTCATGCATCCAGTCGCATGCATTGTTAGAATCAATGTTAGGAACAGGTTTGCTAACTTTACACAGCCTGCCAGCGCAGCGCAGCCTTGAATTGATAGTTTTGCTTTATTCATTATCTTTATTGATTTAGTCATTATAGGGGGTTATTAAAGGAATAAAAAATATTAAGGCTTGCTCTAAAATCGTTTCGGGCTACTACGATCTTGGGCTGATTGTAAGCACAGGGCGCAATAAATCTCCTTCAACTTTTTTTTTTGATGATACGGCAGGGAACTTCATGTAAATTAGGCCTTCGTTACAAATTCACCAGGAACTTATCACATGCGTTTCCAGGGGCAACATCATGGTGGCCAACTTGACATGGTATACTAGAGTTAACATATAATAAAAAAATAGTAGATAATGTACGGGAAAATTTATTTAGAATTTTCAATAGGTCAAAATCTTATACCACATTAAATCAATACCAAAATCTCATATTTAAACTTGCCATTATTACTTAATTTACTGTTATTATAGTAATGTGTGTGTTATTTGTCAAAATGTATTTTCGTATGAAATGTACCGAGTACAAAATATTTACCAATATTATTATTACCTATTCCTTCAATTTTAATATAACTTTTAGTACGCCCAAGTCGTAAGTTAACATTTCCTTGAGACGTCATAGTCTTGAAAAAATAATGACAATTTATACTCTTTAGTTTTCTGTTATTGTTATTCTGTACGTGTCACTAACTTATAAAAGACAATGGCTGGCAGTTTGTATTTTATTATAATTATCAATATGCGTCTTTTATGGTGCCACTGTGAAACAATACACTTTGTATATTAGGGCTATAGTTTTTTATTAGAGGTTTTCCAAACGATTTTAAAGAGAATATTCGATATAGCATATCTCCCACATTTAATTTTTAAAGTTCTGCTTAATTCCAGAATATGTAAGATTAAAAAAAGAAAAGAACACAAGTATTCTGGATATAACATTTAATACAGATCGGGCCTAGGTAAAACAATAGCGGTACATAAAACCGATTTCCTGAGTTACACCCACTTGTCCCAATATCTTTAATATTTTTTAACGTACCAACATATCTGTGTACCATAGGGGACAGTTTAATCACGAATCAAAACATTTTCAAAGAGATTTTACGCCAGGCAGGCGATCGGTCGGAAAAGTGAAAGCCTTTAGTAATGTAACTTAGGGACTATTCAAGTATTACGTAAGCAAATTTATTACAATTATTTACCCCCCATCCCCCTTGTCAGCAAAAAAACAATACATTAATTGAGAAATGTTTACGTAAGCATGGGGGGAGGGGGTAAGAGCTTTGCTTACTTTTTAGCAAAGACGATGTGAGGGTTGACATTTGCGTAAAAAAGTAAATAATTACCGATGACGTAATCATCATCTAGACTCCCCCCCCACCCCCCATGTCATCCAAAATAAGCAAAGCAAAGACCCCCCCCCCAAATAGTGCTTACGTAATACTTGAACGGCCCCTTACATACGAATATTACGCTAACCCTAAATTATAATAATAAATGGGACAATGGCAGGAAAATGATGATGATGTGCAACAGTACGCAAAAACCAAAAAATAGAGTGAGACAATTCTCTTGCTCGGTCGTATGAACTGATATGAAACAGATAATATAATAAAGAAGAAATATGCTGGCAAAACTCGATTACTCTAGGCTGTTCTATCATGATACGTACGTGTAACATTTCCTAAAGACCCAAGACTAAAAGCCGGCGTAGATGCTTCAGATAAGTTATAATATATATATAGTTATAATTGATGATAACAGATATATATTATAGTTTCTTATCATATTCCGTCACGGACCTAGCATTTAATAGATTATAGGATGAATTCAGATTTCATCCTTTATAAATCATTAATAAATAGTGGTATAGACAGCCCTGTACTATATGTAGGAATGTCATAGCTCTATTATGACAATAGGTATTTGGGTATGTATATAATATTCAATGAAATATAATAATTAATATTACTATTAATAATTAATATTATTCATTATTTCGTAAAATCTAATTCACATGTATAATTTATTCATGTTGGCCCAGACAAGACGTTTATGATATTTCATTTTTTTAATCATTTGGCACTAACAAGAAATTTGGTTGTTATTCATTATTCTTTTTTTCATACAGAAGATTACGATTATGATATTTTTATTTTTTCTTTTTCACATTGAAATTATTCCTATTATTCGGGTAAGAAGTTGAATACTTTGGTTTAGTAGTAGTGCTTATATAGTTATTTTTATTATGTAGTTGGGATGACAAAAAAGTTGACGGTTCAACTGATAGTATGTAGTATCCGTCGCTTATTTACGTGAACAGCACCTCGGTCACACGTCATCAAGTGACGTAACGGGATGACTGCGTTGCCATTCCATACGACGAAGATTTTAGGTTTTCATACCTCGTAATTTCACTGCCATTTGCCACTTTTTATCCGAATATGTTACTAAGATAACTGCTTGGCGGCTGCAGTAGGTGAGACAGATGGATTATACTTACTTAGTATACTTGTACTACGATAAAAAAATCGATTGTCGGTGGATTTATAATAAAACTACTATTAATCCCGGCTATACTCGACGACACGCGGCAGAAGACCGGATGTAACCTCATTTTGGCTAAGTTCCAAACGAAATCTGGTTTATAAATAAGATAAACATTAGTGAGAATTTAACTGGCATCCTTAAATCTCGATTACATCATCACTCCCACTTAGTAACAGTTACTCTGGAGTTTACTCTATAGCAAGTGTTGCCAAGTGTCATAACTTAGTATTTTTTAAATTCATGTCAAGATTTTTATCACCACGTTTGTTAATTTATATAAAACCACGTAAGTATTAAGGAATTTCCAAAATACAGTTACTGTATTTCCAATAGTGCTATGTCAGTATGTGAGACTTTAAGACTTTTTGAGACACATATTAAGTCTTTACTTATAAGTTGATTTCCTTATTATTATTAAATTATTTTTACATTAACTAATTACAAAATAATGTTAAAACTTTTGGTAGGTATACAACACAATATATTATAAATGTTATAATAATCTGAATTACTGACAATAACATATAGCATAATTTTATTTCTAGCTAGTTAGCTTAGCTACCTTTAACATCATGCCAATAGTACATATACACTTTCAAGAATTTATTATCACTAAATGTCTATTCAACTATGCAGCACTGCTGTTTATTTGTAAAACAGAAGACAATAAATACCCACTGAAATAAACTAGCTAACTGAAATCTTGTTTTGATCTTTACCTATTGTCTAGTAAAAATTTTGTGCAAACATTATTTCCACGATTTCAGAATAATTTATTTACTGAAGTATTTCAAATGACCACGATAACTTTTGGAACACATTTTTTATTTATTGAAACTTAAATTGTATAATTAATTAATTATTATCATAACATCATTATGATCAGAAGTTTCAGCTGTATGGTAATCGATCAATCTGAGCACACGCCCAATTAACAAAGACCTCTACTTTCTGCGCGAATGCATACATTAGAGTGGCCAAATTATATGTCATTATTCCCAAACATCCATCAGACCTGTGACACTAATTAGAATTTCTAATAACTCTATTACAAATGGCATAATGCTCATATCTACATACATCTGTATTTTGTTTCAAACATCTACAACATTTTAACTGTAAAATTACTCTTTATTTTAGTTAAACAATGCAATTTAGTTATTATTTTTAACCAACTTATAAAACAGAGGATTCTATGAACAATCGTAATTTATACATGTATGTATGTTCAGGATATAAATAATATCTACTCGATAATTCATAAAAGTCCATTCTTTGGGCAATCTGTAGAAGTAGTACTACATACCACAATTAAGATAGACATACTTAAATAGGTATATTTTTTCTATAATATTTATTGTTATCATCCAGACCATTACAAAGAAAATTATAGTGCTTATGATGTGTGACGATTGAACCTGTGACAATCAGTAATAAGACAGTGTACAAGTCGTTGGATCCCTTAAAATCATGATAGTATATTCCACAGCTAAAAATTTCCACCTATAGGTATTAGATAATAATTAGTTTAGTTAGTTTAGTTAGATAATTAACATTTGGCAAGGGTACCAGTGCCAAGCCGTTCATCAATGTAGGCATTTAATTTACTAACATCTGACGTCAATTTCTCACATCATCTCAGTTATACTTTACACAATATTGGGTTATACCGTCAAGTAAATATTATTGATGTGAAAAGTACGTAAATATACTAACTAATACTTCTGATATGTTTGTATTATTATTTTATTGTTTGCACACAACACTTGGAAATAGGGACTCGATTTCGATTGAAAAACTATTAATGTTGGACCCATTTGTCAGGGTAGGCTATATAAAATCTGCATCGGAGCATCAATAAAAAAGGTTGCAGAAGCGGATTTATTTATATTTATTTTTAATTTTTAAAGCTATTAGTCTATATATATATTTCATCGTTACGTTCTCGCTCTGTAATGCGACTATATTTTATTTCGTATAAAAGAAGTCTCTCTTATAAGAAATAACATATATTTTTTCAAAAGAGATTCATGAAGATACTTTATCCTACATCATAAACTAACTTTATGTTTATACTTTTATTGCTATGTCTATTTGGAGCTAAAATATCAAAGATATCCAAACATAACAACACAAGCGACCATCAAAATACCAATAATTTCAAAGCAGTGTAAAGGCTTCCACCCGTAATTTATAATTCACACTGTACCTACTTCAAAGCAAAGAAATGTTTATTCTATTTTGGACACCTGTCTTAGTTATGAGTCAACGGTTTTGTAGATAAATTCATTGTAATCGACATTTATTAGAAATGTGGTGTCATTGCCCTGTTGGTATATACATTAATTTCTTGATAATGACAAAAGGCGACGAAGGTACCTTAAATAATGTCAGTGTCAAAATTATTCAGTTTTTGAGAAAGAAAATAAATAATTATATCCACTTAAATATCTGTATAGAAAAAAATAATTTCTGATTTTTTTAACACTTTATGTAGGTATTACAAGATTAGATCTCCAGTGGTAGGTATGTTACAGATATTAATCTATGTATCGGCTCTATTACTTTATATAAAAAACGATGCATCCAATTCGGGTTGTCATTCAGGGTAGGGTTCGCTAGGGACGATCAGCAACGCGATGGACCGACCAAGATGAAGCAGCGATAGGTTGTCCACTCTACTTGTGTACCAGAAATGGCGACTTCTCGTAAGGCGGATAACATCTGCCTCTCACTCTACTATATAAGGACTACGACTGTGCTATCAAGAGGGTATAGAATAAGAACTATTAAATTAGTTAGGCATTTTCCCGATGTTTGGTAGCTTTAGATATTTAGTAACTAGTTCTCCCGAAATCCTTCTAGTAATTAAAGCTAGGAACTTCGATAATCATAGAAAAAAAGATGAGTTATGACACTTTGAACAAAAAACTATAAATTAATAATACATAGAAATCATACATAAAAATATTTATCGTGCATAGCAATCATACTAATGAATATAAATGTTTGTGTCGTGCGAGAATCAAATCGATGAACTTCGGTAGCTGACTACAAGTCTACTAATTAGTTAGACCACCCAGACATATTCTTCTCTAAATGTAATAAAATATTGTTCATATATAGAAATAACCGTAATAGTAATTTAAAATTGACACTTCACTACACAATATAAGTATGTAAAGAATTTGCAAAAAAAAACAAACACAATTTTAAGTAAAGTCTACCACAATAAATGAGTGAAATCTATACCCCAAATCCGATATTTTATTTTGGAGTCATATTGTCTCTATTAATAAAATTCAATAATCTCAATATTACGAAAAACTCCATTATGATTTTATCTTTTAAAGGTGATTTCTCAAATATTGAAAATTTTTAGTCGCAATTTATTATAGAGCGAATTTAAAAGTTCTAGACTTTATCTAGAACTTTGAAGTAATTATAGACACAGCTAATAATTTAAAATATAAAAAAGCAGTAGAACAACTTTTGTCCCCGTTTGACACACGCCTGACAAATCCAAGTAACAAATAAAGTTTTTTACTAATCGCCTTTTATTTTTAACAGGCGTTTAACATATACAGTTAACAATAAATATAATTCGGCGCAGCTGTTTATAGAGATTATCTCCTATTATCTATTTATAGAAATGAAATGTGAAATCCATTTGCGTATACAAACATGAGAGTTATTACGAAATCTATATGGTAGGAAAGTTTTCATCATAGAATGGTGCTTTCATCTACACTTACAGTATTGGTGGCCTAGGTGATCTAGCGGTTTAGCACACCGCTTTACTTCCGATGATCGCAGGTTCGATTCCTCACACGGTGCAAACATATTTATTCATGAGTATGATTGTGTACATCGGTCAGGGTGTTTTCGGAGAATATTATGCATGTATTATAAAAAAAATATCTAAGTATTTATATCAGTTATCTAGTATCCATAACACAAATTCTGCCTACCGAGCGACTAGATGGCGCTTGTCCAGGGTTATTTAATTATTATTATTATTAGCATATATTAGCGGGGTACCAAACGATGTTGGGATGAGCATGAAGTCAGGTTATTGTGTCAGTCCATTGTGGCGAATTAGGAATTAAAGTGGATGGTTAAATGGGCACTATGCACATAATTGAACTGAGCAACATTTTATCTTGATACGAGTATTCGTGTTTTCCGACATTAAATTAATGTCAGAAGACTGTTTACTCTCATTATATTTATAAATCTTCCGGCGTAATGGAAGATAAAAAATATAACATGCACGCCTGTGTTTTATAAAGTACTTATGGCGTCTATTTAAATACATGACCAATGTCATTGATATTGAGTTATAAGTAGATAGAATATGTATATCATCCCATAATATCTTAATATAGATTTTTTCTATACGACTGTTAATGGCCCACCTAATGGAAAGCAAAATATACAGTAGTAACCATAACTAATATTATACCGATAGAGTTTTAAAAAAAATCTGCATTGGTACCTTATTCTCAGGTTGCTTTGTAACTTTTGTTGGACGGCGAGATAATGAAGTAAATACGCAAATCATCTTAGTCCACCGGAATGGCAACGCATGGTATAATGTGCGATAAAACGCGGTACTCGGTGATGTTTGCCAATTACCACCAAGTAATCCGACAGCTTGATGCCAAAACAGATACATAATTGAAAAGAGAGAATACAAACATGTGTTCCAATAGGTTTGCCATTCAACCCTTTTTCAAATATGATTTTCATACACGAAACTATTGTGCACAGCAATAGAAGGGGTTATTAGTAAGTTGGTAATTACTAATTCCTTTGCTGTGTAGTAACTATTAGGTCTATCTCCACACAGTCTAGAGTGGAAACCAATGAGGTTACCTAATTGTTGTTGAATTTACAATTTGATTAGACCCTTATCATAAAAATCATCGATATTCATTTGTATATAACAAAGATATCATATCATACTCAAAAGCATATCGTGGAACGAGCTTTTCCTTCTGGAGATTGGTTCATAAAACTATTTTTTATTTAAAGAGTGAAAACGGAAGTCTGATTGGTGGACTATTTTTATTTCATAGCGTTGCGATTTCCTAGAACGATGTCATTTCCGCAGTTGTTCGTTTCAATTACATAAAAAACATGTTTTTATATTATATGAAAAATATTTTCACAGTAAATCCATTATTAAACTTTTGTATGCATTTGCTGTAATCAGGAGGTACATTATTCCAGTAAATATGTTCAAAATATATAAATCCTCTGAACCCCTTAAAATACTTTATTTACGCTATAATTTTAATATTTAACTTTCCATTCATGCGAAATATTCTATTTAGGCACAGAAAAATAAATGAAACTAATAATAAAGATCTAAACAGAAAATTTATTGTGTACTATTTCGGCTAACTAATAGCCCTTAAGAATATTTAAGTAAAAAAAATATAAAACAATAAAAGCTTTTTGCTATATTAGATAACGTATTTTATGCAGATTTTTTTAAAACAACTCCTAAATTCTACTCTTAAATGTAAGTATCTGTGACTAGGTTTTGTACTATATCAGTTCATTAATTTAGTTCAATAATATTTTATTTTACTACGATTGCCATGATTCAACTCGGCTTTTATGGAAGTTTTTAAATATTATTTGTATAATAACCTAAACGTTTTAAAAAAAATCTTTGAGATCAATACTCATGAACCTCACATTAGATTTATGTTAAATCTTCGAGAAATCGCTTGTTTTATCATAATATCATATTAATTTTAACTATATTTAATTATCATTTAACTATAGCTATTGAAAACTTTCAGGATTCAAGTTTGTCATGGTAGGTGTTTTGAAATTGTATAACATACGTATGTTGTTTATAATAATGATGCCATATTATACAATTTTATGTTTACAGTAGATACAAAATAAATACGTGAAGCCGCCCGCCCCCGCGGCGAAGTCGCTGGGCGGGCGAATAGATCGGTCGACCAGTTCATTCTACGAACCCGTCGCGAAAGCTCGTCCAACAGTTTAGTGAATTTGAAGAAACTTCATCGGACCTGAATTAAAATGCCTGTATGTATGACTGACTTTGCTATTTCGAATTAATAAAAAATAATACCAAATTCAATAATATTTTTATAAATTCTATATTTAAAAAGTATAATGCTTTTAAGTATTAAATTAATGTTAGTGCTTTTCACTTTCAACTAATTTATTGGGATCGTGAGATGTCATCGAGACAAACGTCTGACGTCAATGGTAGAGATTAGGCGCGCGCGCAGCTGCCCCAACTCAATCGTTCAGTTTTCCAGAAACTACATTATGATAGCACTAACAGTTACGAAATGTTATTTTTGGATGCTGGAATCAGCCTGTACACCCATCAAACGACTTGGCACTGGAACTGATGTTTTATGGCCGTCGTTCAAAAGCTGCATGTGTTCAAATTTTTAAAGCATCAGTAAGAATGTGGAAAACTGACTCTTATTACTAGCTGGTTTATGACAAACTATTTTAACGCTTTGCTTGATTAGTGACGTATGTTTAGAAATAATGATAATCGTATATGCTACGTAGGTTTGGAATCAATCCATGATATGATTTTTCTCGGAAGAAAAAAATTGACAACAAATATAGAAATATTTTTATTCTTATTTTTACGTCTAAAGTAATAGTTTAAAAGTAGAACCAGAAATTCCAAGAGAATTAAACTTTAATTAAACGTTAGTTTTTGTTAAAATTATGAATATCTTTGACAGGCCAGGAATAAGGAACAGGAACAGGAAGTCCTAACCTGGATCTCCGAGGTACTTGGGGAATCTTTACCTAATGGAGATTATGAAGATATACTAAAAAATGGAGTAATTCTTTGTAAATTGATCAACAAACTTGCCCCAGGATCTGTTAAGAAGATACAAGAAAAGGGAACAAATTTCCAGCTCATGGAAAATATTCAAAGGTAAATGATACTGGTCACAATTCAAATTTATTTAAACGGCTTGTCTTGACAGCTAGAGAGAACCGAGTGCCAAAAGCAAAACTCTACATCTCTTGATTTAGATTCATTAATATCTAGTTTCATTCATGTAGCATCTGTCTCTGTTCTTATAACTCATAATTTGTCCCAATTACTGGACAGGATCTAGACCTCTTACTAGCATTGTTTATCCTTTCACATGTGTTTGACTCAAAATATTAAAGATACCTGTTTCTCATTTGCGAACTAAACTTATATTATTATATTGCAGTTTATTTAAATGCTTAATTTAATATATTTCAGGTTCCAAGCTGGCATTAAGAAGTACGGAGTGCCAGAGGAAGAAATTTTCCAAACAGCTGATCTTTTTGAAAGGCGTAACATCCCACAAGTTACTCTTTGCTTGTATTCGTTAGGCAGAATTGTAAGTTCTGTTTTTTAAATCTTTTTCTAATATATTAATCAATTATAAAATGAAAGTTATCATTAATATCTAATTAATATTCCAGACTCAGAAGCACCCAGAGTACAATGGTCCACAACTTGGACCCAAAATGGCTGAGAAGAATGAGCGCACCTTCACCGAAGAACAACTTAGAGCACACAATGCCGAATTAAACCTTCAAATGGGATTCAATAAGGGAGCCTCGCAATCTGGCCACGGTGGTTTCGGCAACACTCGTCACATGTAAATGCTTCATAAAATATATAGGTATCTGAGACCAATGCCGATGTATTCGGAGTTAGCCAGTATTTTTTTAAAAGTGAATTTAGACTGAACGACTAAATGTCACAGAATAAAAACTAGAATTTTGCAAGAACACAGAATTAGACAGTTTGAAATTGCAAGAACAACGAAAATGCACAAATTGTTCATAGCAGTACAGTTTAGAAACTAGAAAACTACTACTAAATGATAAATTCATACGCAGGATGATCTTCCGAATACTACTTTTATTTTTTATGTTGTTTGAATGGCATTGTGCGATATTAGATAAAAACATTTGATGAGTCTAAATTCACTATAAGATATGTTTATTCCATTCTTAATTTTTGCTATTGTGAACTCGAGGCAAACTTTCAATTCTCTTAAATTTCCTTCTTCAATGCCTGCTTAACAACGTCAAAGATTGTGTGATAGAACAATTACTGTATTGTATGTATCTAATTAGAATTAATATCTAACAAAGGCTATTTTTATTAAGATTTTTTACGACTATTGTGTAATTTTTGTAAATATTTAACATTATTTATTAAACGTTGTTTCTAAGGAATTTTTTGTTTCATTTTTATTATTGTAGAGTTAAAAAATATGTATTTTGGATAATTAGTACAAATAAATAATTATACTATTAGATTGTTCATCCAAGTGATCAGATATAAGTTTTTTAATTATTATAATAATATTTTGGTGTAAAATTTTATACCACGTTATTTGAATATCATTACCTATTCGTATCTAGTAAAAGATACCTATAAGATATATGTTTTGTACAATTTATGTGAATATATGGTAAACCAGGTGTCAGCTCATCTGATGGTAAGTGGTATCTGTCAGCTATATATAGGTACAGTACTGACATTACGTTATCAACATACATGTATACATTACGAGATTGCAGCGACTTTACAGTCTACCACGGAAAAGAAATATATTTGTATATTTATATGTTTAGTAAGTACACTATAATACAGTGACACATATAGTAAAATAACAGGTAGACATCGCCATGGGACTTTTTGATGTCGCATTTGTGTATATTATAAATAATATTATAGCTACAAAGTTGTTAAAAAAACATAAATTTAAAATATAGCTTTAAGCATCTCCTACTACTTTCCTTTTCCTACTACTGTTGCGTGAATTTTAAGTACCACACGGAAAATTTCCATCGAATAGCTAGAACATGATCCGTGTCAAAATACATCAAAATACATTTCTGTTATGAATTATAAACAACTTCAATAACGCATATTTTGCGTTTAATTTGATTGATGGGTATGTTTATTCATGTATACATTACTAGTACTCATTACTCCATCGGTGTTGCTGTAAGTAATATTAATAAATATTTTATACATTAATTTTACAGTACGTAATCGTAATTTTAAAATTATTAGGTTATAGAGAATATATCTAATTTATTATACGTTCTAAATGAAATTTCCGAAGATAACAAACCAAAATTTTCCAACAAATCGAATGTTACAGCAAGAATTTTTAATTTCAGAAATGATATTTTATAACATGTTCTGTATTTAAACACGTACGAAAATAAATGTGATGATAAATGTGTCGGTTCAGATCTGTCGTCCCTTAATTATCTTGTCGTATACATTAGTTTGGCCGCGTAAGATGTAATTTATATAACAATGCCAAAAGTACATATTGAAAGGTGTAAGTATATTGTAGAAGGTACTCAAAGTAAAGTACTCTGACCCCAGAAATTGTGCTAGAACCTATAAACGTCCATTGGTTCATATTTTTTCTACGATGTATATTTTCTACCTATAACCAAATACGAAACGTACGAGTGGTCCACGAGACAAAAATGTTTAGAGACTACTAAACTATTGCTATAATACAAATAATCCCAACCAATGTTATCAAATAGCGTTTAAATTTTAACCATTAATAAAGTTTACTTTAGATAAGGAGTTAATGGTAATTCTGCAGCTAAGCACACTACTACAGACATAACAACTTAGTCTTTAGGTATGCAACACGTGAGAGATACTCTGATCTGTGGTACATGTATATTGACGAAGGTTACCACTTCCATCATATAACTTTTTGTATTTCATTCAAAAACAAACAACTAAATAAAGAATAGAGCTTCACTTTGTGAGTGATCAACAATGATTTCATTTGCGTAACAACCCAAAAGTGAAATCAACACTGTGGTAAAGCTTGGTTATGCTACAAACTGTATACTGAGTGGGAGTGACTTTCAGCGTTATGAGAGTAAATTTCAGTTATTAAATAAAGTAAGTATATTTATTTTAAATTCTACAATATATTGCTATTATCCCTTAAAAACATGTAATTGTTCCATAAATAATCTCAATATTTAATTTTTTTTTTCTCAGACTAAAATTTAACTTTGATGTTTTATTGATTTATATGGGACCTACTAAAAATATTAGCATAATTAAAGGTCATTCAACCTTCCCATTCAACAATGTAGTTTTACATTGTCACTTGTGAAGTTGTGACACTTGGGGGCAATAAAATTAGTTTTATATTCACAGAAATAGCTTTGACTCGTAGTGCGGTTTGTGGCAATCATTTAGATGTTCTATTTGGGTGATTAAAACATAAAACAATATTTTTTTTAAATTCTCCCATTCATTCATATGACAACAGTAAGAATAATGAAGTATTATTGCATTTATGACAGAAGCGATGTATAAAGACAAGAAAGAGAATAATGTTCTCTTTCTTTTCTCGTTACCTATAAGATAGGACATACGAATACACAAAACTGTGACTCCTGTGCCTAAATAATCCGCGGGGCTTATAGCATTCTTTCAAGAGGTCCATGGTTTGATCTCGGTTTCTAAGTGAGAGTTTAAAAAACTAGTTCCACTTATAACAAATCTTCTTATACTCTGTTTAGACTTTGACAAATAAAGAAAAACACCTAATTTATATATTATGAGTGTGAGCGACCTCTTATTCATTTGTTACTCTTATTATTGGGCTAAACAATTACATAATATTAAAAAATAATATCTAGGTTTAACAACAACTATACATATCTCATACATAATCAGAAACAGTAAATAAGAGTCACTATTCCGTGTTACAGATATTTATAGTTATTTATTCATAGCTTAGCTGTTTACCGCGAATTCTCCAGCTTTTATGAAGATCATTGATAGCCTATGTACATTCTCATATCTTCATAATATAATCTATTCTATTAGGATAGTTCACTCCTTTAGATGTAAATAGTTACAAACAGTCAGACATACAGACACACATCAAAATTTATAATACATATTAGTAAACCAAATGGTCTCGGTTTCGAAAAACAAACGCAATTAAAACATTTAGATCAATAAAGGATCGCTAATTCAATATCTCACTATTATAATGCTTCAGTACATCTGTATGTCATCTAACACCTTCTAAACAGCGGGACCTATTTGGATAAAATTTTGCGTGTATCTATATAATTGTAGTAATAACCTATACTACATACTTTAATAGGTTCCTGGATGTTTTGAAAACACAAATAGACACTCGTAATTGATAGGCGGCGCTGTTTTTCCAGGCAGGACAACATCTGCTAAGTCTGCTCGTATATATTATACGTAACATTAAAGTTATTTTCCTTTTATAATGAAGGTCAAATATCCTGTTTACATCTTGGCCATCAAGATAATCAACTATTATTTATTACAGTTAGATAATGGTTTTATGATATTACTACTATTAATATTTTAATTAAAACGCAATGTTGATACATGATTGTTGTTGATTATGTAATTAGATTTTATATTACACATTAAGTGCATATAGTCTTGTTGCAAGTTATTGAGTTATTTTTTTCTATAAATATATAAACGTTGACAAGTCACAGCGCCATCTAGTCTCATCATAAGCAGTGCATTTATACAGGCACAAGGCAATTGTTAGACATAATACGTTTTGGTTCTAAATATATACATAAGATTTATGCATATATTAGGCGCATTGGTAACAAAAATAAAGTAATTTATACTTAATGCTGCTTCATAACAACTATAATAACGCAAGATGACAATGTGATATTCAATATATAAACCATAAAAGTTAATGAATTATAAGTACTGCTTTTAATCCATACAATATCTCTATCAAACAGTCAAAAACAAAATATCTTTATTTAATGTAGGTCTATCACTGGCTTTTATGATATGTCAAATCTACCGTCAGTTCGGAGTGCTTTCGAGTTGAGAAGAACTGACGAGAAACTCAGGTCATCAGCAATATACATATATATAACATAGGAAAACAATTAAACAAGCACAAACAGATAGCGTCATTAAGATAATACACACACCGAAATAATCTACAAAGTGAGTTGCTTGGTAACTGAAGTTGGTAAGTTTATATGAAATCTAAGGTACTAGGACGTTTTGTATATCTTACCTTATAGTATATGGACGCTAGATATTATTCGAATTTATTTAATTTTAAAGATTGTTAAAAACGTGATAGGAACACGTATAAAATATTACTATAATTTGTATTGTGCGGGGATTGAAGCCATGGCAATCGAAAAGTAAGGCAGTGTACTAAACCACTTGATCATTGTAGTCTTAGATTAGAAATGGTCAGAAAATCGCACCCACACTCTATTATTACGATGTAAACTTTGATATCTATCTATCTCTAATAAATCGTCTGCGTCGGTACCTCAGTCTCACCTATTTAAGTTTCACCACCATACAGTTTGCTACGTACCTAAGCTATGATTTGGTTGAACGGTGAGATAAGGTAAATTACAGGATAAGAGGCATGACTTAATACTCCGAAATAATAACGGATAGTCAAAGGCGTCATTGAATCTCTTTGGTTGTATCTAAGGCGTCATGTGATAACGTAATGATGTAGTGCTGTTCATGTATATAGGCAACGGTTACCACTTACCACCAAGTCAGTAGAGCGTCAACTTGTTTACCATTCAAATTACATAAAGAAATATGGTTTTTAATCTTAAGTACCTAGCCAAAAAATGGCATATTACCCACACTCCAGAAAAATGTATGTTCTTTCCATCACACGCGTGGGCTCTGTGACTGTTTGTCTTGACTGTCAGCCAACAGTTAGATTTATCCCAGCATGACAGACTACGGTCATACTTTATATTTGTACACTAATTATGGATGAACTTAATTTAGGTAATTAGTCCAAGGTTGAATAATAGATTCACAATTTTGTTTCACCTAGCCTCTATGTTTATAGCTCAAAGGCAAGGCTAAATAGACTAGGCTTCTCTCGCGTTCGTGTCTGTCGCGTGTGTATCTTATATATATAATAAAAAGGTGAAAGTTATATCATATTAATCGAAAGAACTAAAACGTTGTGAATACTATTATGAAGTCTTTTTTAATTTAATAAATTAATTTTAATTAAGAAATAAAAAGAAATTGAGTCGTTTAAGGGTATTTTGATAAAGTCGAACGTCAGAATTAAGACAAAAATGTAAGTTAGAATATATCTGACTGTCGATGTTGATTTTGTACAGTCATCTACGTGGCTACCTATATCATACCTATTTCAGCCACTAAGCATCTTGCTACGTTTTGGTTTAAAGGCTGGAATGCGGCAGTGAAAATTCAGAGTACCGAGCATGGAGTACACCTTAATTGATCAGAATGGCTACGCAAAAGTGTTAACCGGACGTCACATACCCACTCGATTACATTACAGGCAAACGACTGTCATTTTCCATCTGGTGGACCATCTGCTTGTTCATCATACCAGTTAAAAAAGATACATCTATTTTAAAGATGTATAAAAAAATCTGTCAGTCATTTTCATTATACAGTAAGTACAGTTTGCCAATTTTAGTTTAATACATAAATTATAATTATTTATGTACATATTTATATAAATTTAGTCTAATAAAGATGAATTATAGATCACTTCCTTACGATCAATTTCAGAGTTTCGAGACGCTTGTAATGCGAAGGCCTATTTATACGGATGACCGCGTTACATCAATTTTCAGGGTTTCCAATAATAAATGGACTCGGGATTGATAGAAGACCACTGTAACCACGGCTTAGCGTTAAATGGTCTGTTTATTCCGTTCTCCTCCTATTATACTACCTACCTAATAACAGAAAAACATACTGATGGATATTTTTTTATGGATGATAATTGAATGGTGCACCCACCATAAGATCAGGTCAGTTCGCCTATCATGACATATTGATCAAGAATTTATCACGATAGTTTTTAGGGGAACCGCGTGGAGGTCAACCCGACATGGTACATTGCTAGCAATAGGGTCAACAGTCCATATTACTGACAATCCACTTCTCACCGATGGATACATTAATAATGAAAATTAGCTTGTACTCAAGTTCGGCTTCACCCGGTTGCTAATACCTGTTTTGTTTTGGATATAATAACATAATTTGTAAACATGTGTCATTTTGGAATGTATGTCTTTCATAAAACGTATCTTAAATCGGTAAAATGGTTCCGGAGGTAACTTTTTTAATAATAAAATCTTTTACAAATACCATAACTGATTATAACTGAAACGGAGGTATCTGATGTACCCGATGAGTGAAAGGTATTGGGGGTTTTATAAGACAAAATAAGGAGATAATAGAAAATGCGACTAATTCGACAGCGATGGACAATAGACCTTTACAAAAAGATTATAAAGATATAAAAGATTATAAAATTCTAAAAGATATAAAAGATTAAAAAATCAATGATTTCGCTACAATAATTTATATACCGAATTTGGCAGTGACGTTACAGAATATGCAATGCAGGTATAGCATCTTAGTCCTCCGGAACAACTTAGCTTGTATATAATTTAAGTTATGTACGTGTGATAATAATGTCACAGGACGATTTTTTAAAATAATTTTTACATTTGACCCCGTTTTATGTGCGAATTGCCAAATAAAAATTTGTGTACATAAACATCACATATTGTACTTGAGTATGATTACAACACGCGTGCTGCGTGAAAGAAGGAATTGACGTTACGGAACGAATGTAACATTTAACTTACGGCGAAGAATCAATCACCTGTATTTATATACAAGTATTATTAATCAATGATTATTTTTATTCTTAAAATAAAATTGTATATCGTATATAAACACTATTAAATTGGTCACGTGATCTCACAGTTTGTATGTACTGACGAAGTTGTCCTTTGTTTAAAAATTAAATATACAAAAATACCGATTTTCAATCTCTTTCTTTCACGTTTAATACTATAAATTCTTTAAAATTAACAAGGTTGACTTTACAAAAAGTCCTTGAGTAGAATTTCTGCTATCTCAGTCCCACTTATTTCAGCCGTTATGCAGCCACATACCATCAGATGGATCCGTATACATAGGGACAGGTCACTGTCTGTCTCTATATATACGGATTTTGAAGCGGTATTTAGTATATATAATATAAATACATGTAATTTTCTATTCATATTTGGAAACGGCTCCTAGAGTTACTTCCTAGCATGTTCATTTTCTCTTTCGAACTGATCGGTAGATTATACGTAATTTCATTATTCAACCTGAAACATCACACGACTTGTTGCCATTTATGTTGTGTTCTTTCTACGCAAGTACTTAATTGAAGTTGCGGTCAATATCGTATGTTTACGTGTTATTAGCAATATTAACTTAAGCAACTCCAAGTTTGTTTTATTTACTTAGCCTACAATTGCGTTGGATCCCCTCTACTTCACGCTCATAGAGACAGACTTAGCTGGAACTTAGTATAACACCACCACCACTTGAACTGCCTGCTCGGGGCTCGATCTCATCGGTAATCGGAACGAAAGATGCATTTCGAATTATTCATAGTGACGAGTGTGCTACATTATACAACGGGTGAATATTTCAAGACGAAACGTAAGTATTTTTAGACATTTAAATTAGTTATCGAGAACATTTTTTTCGAGATAAACATGCGGACCGTGTTGCCGGCTTCTGCCGCACCGATTTCGCAATTGAGTTATTGATGTTACGTAAATTGATTGTTTGTAATGATTATATCATGGCGTTACGTTACAAAGAAGTTGAGTGACCTTTTATCGTCTAAATCTAACCCTTATTACTATTAATTTACGTGTTGATTATGAATGATAGTGATAGTTTACGTAAATAGGAAATGTTTATGATACATATATTTTATGGTAGGGTTGACGCATTGGGAAATTGTGATATAATATATTTTAGTTGTTTTATAGTATCTAGAATATTGACTTAACGTAAATTTAGAATCATAAAAATATCTAAAATGTTATTTGTAATTATATATTTCTATTGAGTCACATTTACAAATTATAGAAGATTGGCAAAGGTTGTCTTTACGACATATTAAAATTGTCTTTAAACGTAGGTATCTACTGAAAAATTATTTTACTCGCATTGTTATACTAAGTATTAAACTTCCTGCCAGTTTATAATACCTTTATCTAAACCTACCTTACCTTTACGTTACTTTTGAATTAAAATATTAAATATAAAACCTCAGTGCGTTAGTATCGTAAAACGCTATATTTAAAAAATTAAATCATACATTATTGTGTATGCATCTAATTATAATATTATTCCTAATATTACCTAAATATTACTATAAATTAGTGAAATGATTTAGACACAGGCGATATCTCAACCTTACACTTAATATATTTTCACCTGACCTTTGATATTAATGTCTATGAGAAAAAAAAGCAATAATATTAAATAAAGACATGTATATGTACCTAGATATCTTTAAAATTATTCTACTGATGTTTAATCTTATGAATATTTCATGATGTCCGTAAAACTCAACTGTTGAGAAAACAATGCGTGGCACGGTCAATGTCAAGTGCACTAAGATTACGTAGGTAGGTTATGTACGTGTATTCTATTCTAAATTTAAATTATTGCTTCATTATAACATTCTAAATTTGAAATATTGCTTCATTATAACAGACATTTATAAATTATTGCTATGTATAAAATGCAGTCGTCTTATCTTTCTTAATTTTATACTGCTTTTATATTACTTTATGCAAAAGGTAAAATGGGAGCTGTACTACATAAAAACAAATATAATACTAAACAAATAATACTACGGATATAAAAAAAAAATTCAATTAATATATGCATTAATAAATTATGTATGCATAATACACACATGTACATATTAGTGGCCATGATTACAAAGTTTGTACTGTGTGGGAATCCAAACCGCGAAAGTGTGGCCGTGTATACATATATATACGTCGTCTCATACAAATAAATAAAATATTCTATGACAAGGACTAAGTACGTAAATAACGTAAGGATTGCGATAGGTTATGTATTGCACTGTCTTTCATTAACTGCACAAATATTATATTGTAACATCTACATAATAAATATAATTAATTACGGCTCGAAAGTAGAATTTTAATCAAATATTGTTAATACAGACTTTTAGGTGCTTATTTTACATGTATATTTTAATCTCTTTTCAGCCAATTTTATACAAACATGCCTGAAGAGTGATCCGGATTTTGATGATTGTTCACGGCAATCTGTTCAAAAATTGTTCGATGCTTTAGGTCCAGGTAAATTCAAAACACTTATTATTTTTAACCTTGTAATAACGTAAGCGAATATGCATTGTTATCATTTCACGCAAAAACAACTAAACGTGTATGGCAAAGTGACCAGAGCATAAGAATAATTTATGGATCTTATGTGGCACCTATGTACTTAAAGCGAAATTCAATGTAATGATTCTCAAATGGTGCTTTCTTACTGTGTACGTTACATCACTTTACTACATTACCAGTGCTGTCCCGTTTTTCACAGTTATTTTTGCAATAAATAGCATTTACGCTCATGTTAGTACCAAATAGATTTTACATATATAACACGATGAACAATATCATTGTATTATGCAGTTGTACGATTAGTAAAATAAAACTTGCTGACAACCCTACGCCGCAGTGCCCTGTCTGCTTGCACAGTTGCAGAGTGCCTGGTTTCTTGCGCAACGACCAATACTCACGTCTCATACCTAGTGCCACTTGTACTCCTCAGCGATTCTGCGTTCCTAGTACTATTCTCCAATTTGTACATAGTTTCCGAGGTTTTATTTTTCCTATCGCTCAACTGGGAGAAGGATAATAATGACGATGTCATAGTTAGTGTATTTTGTGAAATTAGGTTATGACAAAATAATATTTATTTCAAGAAATAAAAATATATAGTATGGTGATGGCTAAACTATAGACATAGATAACAATTAGATATATTATGATAGTGGGTCGGTAGGTTCGTGAGCCCCTAGCTAGTAGTAGTCACCTCATTACGAAACATTTTGTACATAACTTGCGGAAAGCGAAAGCGCTATTTCTTCACTACACTCATGCGACGTACGGCGCGCGTTATCAAACAAGTCATAAATGAGTTATTATATTTTTTAAGTACTATCTATGTTCCTACATGACAGAATATGTACACGTGTATTTTTGAAATTCAGAAAGAATAAAATAAATTTACTTCGTAACTTTTTAATATATTTTGGAGCCACCATCCTATAGTGATTAAAAGTAGAGTTGTAGAGTCTTATCATTTATTATATTAATAAGAATAAATATGGAAATTATATTTTAAAATATGGTCTCGTAATTTTAGGAGATTAATTAATTTAATAAATAACTAATCCTACCTTATCTATTTATTCTAGAAAATATAAAAATCAAAAGAGTAAAATAAATAATGCAAGTGAGTTTTTTATATATTATAGGTCTTCCAGAAATAGACATGCCCCCTCTGGACCCAATGAAAATTCCCAAAATAAGAATCTTGCAAGGTGATGGCCCTGTGAATGTAAATGCGGCGCTAGATGACGTCACAGTGACTGGTTTCGGGCAGACAGAAGTACTCTTGAGTCAGTGAGTATAATCTCTACATGTTTATTGCCCCCTGGTCTTATTGTCGACTGTTTGATCGACTCGGTCGAGTAATAATCGAGTCGATTCTCTTCGGAACTAAATAAAAAAAGTAAGTAAGTTTGTTACAACGTTGTTATTTCTGTTTCATTAGCAACTAGAACGCCAACAATTTTATTGTTTTATTTTCATCGATCTTTTAGATGCAGTCGTTACAATTTGCAAAAAGAAAAAAAATCCTTAACTTGTATGTATATTTAAATATCGCACATGGATATATCGCATTATAATTATTACTAACTTCTCTTTTACTAGGATGTAATGTTCTCTTAGGTAATGATTTTGTAACGCAACTAATTAATGTTTTCACCCCAGTATATTTGGCATAATCAAAATGTCTATAATACTAATAACAGTCTATAATTATTTATAATTGTTAATTTTGATTAACAGAAGATTATTAAGAAGTATATTATTATTCTTTGTTTTACAGAGTAGATAGCAAAACTTATGATTTCTACACGAGAGTTCGTGTTCCAAAAATTAGAATAGAGGGAACGTATGATCTGAAAGGAAAGATTTTATTAATCCCTTTGGTAGGTCGTGGCCTTTGCTGGTTTGAGCCAAGTGAGTATTATCTTTGATTGGTTATTAATTTATTAAACATGTAATAAAAAAGCGAATGAGCCGTGCCTGTACATTAATACCTCAAACAATGTACCATACATACATGTTTTTAAATATTTCTATCTTAACTTGTATTACTGAGGTAAAATATGTATTTTTTTAGATTTTAGTCGAATTGGCAGTGACAGTCCTCTGCCCACGTCACGTCACGTTTTTGTGTGGCGACGTCTGCCGTGTCTGCTAATTAGCTATAATTCGTTTCAGGTAACATGACCATTGACATTGTCAGTGATGTAAAATTGTACGAAAAAGACGATTTTGCTTTCTTCAATGTGACCGCAGCCCATGTAAAATACGGTATTGGTGGATTAACATTACGTATGAATAATTTATTTGATGGGATTAATTCTTTAGGTAAGTATTTGATTACATTTATAGATTACAAACAAGAGTTAAATTATATTAATATTCAATTATAGAACTTGAAATATTAGTATTGTTATAATTAAGGGTTCCCCTTACTTTAAACGCACAACGACTCAAGTGGGAGGCTAGATGCGTAAAACAGAGCTCTATGTGCTTAAAAGTCGGTATTTGATGTTTTATATATTTAAATAAAACTGAGCAATTACCACACTAATTAATTGATTTCATGATAATAATCAAAATATTTAATTCATATCGTATATAGCGCCATCTGTACGCAGCTGGTGAATACATTACATACAACTCTATTGTACTGTGAACCTGATCTGCTTCTAACAGTATAATGAAGATGGCGCCATAGTCTGATAGCAATAACTTGTTTATATTTATATTATCCTGGTACTTACGTGTTCGAAATTGCAACGTTGAGACGCTGTAGACGTTTGGGAGGAGCGTTTGACACATCATCCTCCTTCGATCGTTAATGCCAATTTATGTTGTCTTGTATTTTTTTATAACCATTACTCGCGGAATTGCGGCTTTTTCAACTCGTCATAAAATTTCTGTTATATTGGATATGAATTCCGTATGTTATTTTATTCCGGAGAATTTTTAATATATTTTCTAACCTTTTTACTATTAATCTAAGTAAGGTTATTTTTATTGATAATGCAAACAAGTATAAGTAACTATACGATGGTAAACTATTAGCGTTGCCTATGGACGCCTGAAATAATAGTGCTATGTAGAAAGGTTTACTTAGGCCCCATGTGATTTTTTCATTCAATGAGTAATAAAAAAATATTCTTGTTCCAGAGGACAGCACTAACGCTTATTTGAATGCGAATTGGCGACCCGTATCCGAGTCCTTAAGACCTATATTATCGAAGACTATAGAAGATATTCTATTGGGTTTTATGCAGCAGCTATTTCACAACTTGCCAGCTAATTTCATGATTGGTGATATAAAGTACCATCCAAGCAAAAAGAGTGACGACAAGAAGAAAGTTTAGACAAACGAGCTCTCTATTAGCATTAATAATTTAAAAGTATTTTTAAGTAGGTATTATATTTTATTAAAGATATCTGATGAATCAATGGGCAGTATTCAACTGAAGCATTACCAAGAAACGGACTGGAAATTTAGAAATACCTACTTTTTGTTTTAATTTCAAATCGACCACATGCCGTTCAGTTATGAAAGGTTCAACGATTAGGTATTTACCGATTTTCACTTGGATCCTTGGGTAAAGTTGTCTAATTTCATTTCAAGATACTCAACTCGTAATTAACAATAGGTACTTAGAGCACAGATAGCACAATACTGTTAAATACAGAGTAAAAAATCTACAATTTTCATAGACTGCTTTTCTAATGTCATCAATAATTGTATTTGTAACTGTACCTTATGTATTGGTTAGCAAATGTTGACGTGTGATAATAAAAATAAGATAACTATGTGTAATAATTGTGTATTAATATTTTTTCATGTAAGTATTATTAATTTAATTCGATTAATTACTTATTAATATCAAAGACTTTATTAAAATATTGGAAAACTAGCTTTAAAAATGTTCTGATTATCTGTCTTAACATTTATAATTAAATATTATGCTCTATAAAAATAGCAATCATTATTTTTACCCTTAAAGAGACTATCTCACATTCATCTCAACGTTTGTAGGTGTCATTTTTATTTTACTATTTAATTTATTTAAATTTATTTTTTTTTAAAAAGGAATTCTCATAATTAGTTAAATACGAGTGCATTAAGAATACCTTTTTCCCCTGACGAATTAATCCAACTGAATTTCACAATGTGGTGTTTTAAACCACCATTGCTTTATGTGTAATGGTGACCTGAGAAAAATTCACCAAAACTCGAAGTAGACGTGGTCTACCAGGCTCGATTGGGACAACACAATTTTTAGCCAAAATTAAATGTCACTGCGCGAAATAAAGTAGGTTCAGTCGTACTTTTTACAAACCGTACCCGACTTTTTTTAGGTTATATGATCTTCAACAGTGTCTGTTATTGTTAAATGGCAATCTGTCTAATTTTAGTAAGTAAGCATTAGGTTTTAGTTCTATTGATATTCTAATTACAAGACACGACTATTGTTCACAAATAACTGGAGTGTCTTGTTTCATACGGTATAGGTACGCGATGTGTGCTCTACACATCGCGTACCTATGTATTATCATCAACAGGTACAATGTTAAAGCGAAATAAATGTAGTAACGGTCACATTAAGCTCTTATAGAAAGATATACCTCACTGTATTTGATATGAATTTAATTAATTAAACTTATTTATTATTATTATATACCTTAAGGTATTTTTTAATAAAGTCAAGACTGATGACATTGTTGCGTTCAGAAATTACAGACAAGTAATTTGAAACTGTGCCAAAACATTTTTTACGTATTAGGTACCTTGGTACGTTGTTGTCGTGGCATCGTACCTACCTGGTAGGTGGTTCGAGGTCGACAATGTTACTCATCACCCTAAAATGTATTTCATTATAGTATAGTAACAAAACACTCTTAGTAATTATTATATAGTCTAAATTACGCTTATTACGAAAGGACTAATGGTACCTTAGTGCTTGTAAGCATTTTAAACCTGCATTTTTTATTTATTTTAATAAACTTTGACTTTAATTAATAATGATAAATTTAATTATACATTAATGTTTTATTATCATAAAATTACTTTAAAATAGCTAGGTACATTAGGGATAAAACAATTATTTGACAGTAACAATTAAGGAACACAGAAAGATATAATAATTAAAATACATAGGTATAAAGTTGCTAATTTCCTAATTTGTTACTTTAGCAGGCATATGATACGGACAAATAAAAACCCTTTTTTTAAGTATTTATTTAAAACAGTATTATTTTAGTACTTTTTTTTAATTTTAAATATCTTGCCTTACCTGCCAAATAGGGCGTCCAGGCATTTTATTGAAATTAGGAATTCCAAATAACACTATACAAACACAACACTTGCACGTGTTTCACGAGCTTGTCACTAGATGGCTCTCTCACCAAAGTTGAGAACTAAATAACCGTCTCCCCGTTGTAAAACGTGTTTTATACGATGCCAAATCGTTGCACGGAGAGGCAAATATTAGCGCGAACAGATATGAAACAGAAACAACGAATGATCGACAGAAATATCTCAATATGTAGTTTGATTACTTAAATTCGTTATATTCTTTTGTTAATAATAAAGACTCTAAATAACTTGTTTTAGTACCTAACTTCCACCATGTAGAACTTCATAGCTACACGCTGTTTGGAGAAACGAAACGTGAAGGAAAATATATCATAATAAATAAATTAAAAATTTCACTTGAACTTTATTCGGCAGTAAGAGAAGGGAAGGTTCTGATTTACCCATACATACACTCATACTTCATATGGTAAAAATGTCAAATAAAATTGCTCGAACATTTATGAATGATAGAAAAACTTATTTTGGCGGTAGTGTTATGTACCTACTTATATATTTTTTTATTTTTATAAATATAATGTACAAGAGCGAGGTTATTTCTTCCAACAAACTTAGAAAATATATAGGTATTTATATGTAACATATTTTGTCATTTAGTTTTTGTGGTTGTTTAATGTTTAATAGTTTAGGAAAAAATAGATGACATTGCTCAGTAAGAAGAACTTCAAAATTGACCTATATTTTAGGTGTAAATAACAGCGTCGGCATTTTATTTCAAGCATTAAGCAGGCGTGATCTATTTCATAGAATACTACTACTGTACAACAAAACCGAACCATATCATTATACAAAAATAAACCTTAACACTAAATTAAAAAATAAAATTGTGAAACAAATATTTATATCCAAAAATAAAGTGAAACAATCTGAAATGGAGTGTTTTGACTGACTGTAGGTATTCGTACTTTGAATTTATATTTCAATATAAGCTATGCATATCCGCTAATTAAAATACATACTATACATAACTATTTTATTTATAGAGAATCACTACATCTGTCATCATTAACTGGAACGAGGTTATTTTAGTTCTACATTTACTCATTAGATTCTGTAACAAAATTTCTATTAAAAAACTATATGAATTATAACAATACAATGAATACATACTAGATAATATCAATGGCGGCACATGTACTTTACCTTTTAAATCGTGTCATAATCGGCTCAGTAGTCCAGTCTTAAAACGTTACTAGAATTTTGATTTTCGTAATTTTCGCATAATAATTATTACACAAACACCTTAAACCGTTTGCGCTTAAGATTGTTTTATAGGTTAGTAACCTAAATTCTAAATTCAAATAGTTGTATATATAAAACTATGCTATTTTTTATGATACAACACATCTGCTGCTTTACGCCGCTGTGACTAATATTCGCTTTCATACTTCTCATTCGTGTTGATGTAAATATTCATTCGTTATGATTAAAATGCATCATACTGGTAGACTGCATCATAATTTATTTAACACTGCTGCTTTTTGCTGCAATCCTTGTCCAATAAGTTCCTGGTCCTTGTATGAAGAGTACTATTACCATCTTGTCGTCGTACCATAACGATTGATTGAAGACAATATTGTAAGGTATGATGAAATTAGTGTAAACATATTTGAGTGGTCTTATAATTAAGAAGAAATGCAAATTAATTAAAAAACATAGTCTTTGTTAATATATCCATTACAACATTAATGAAAAAATGAACAGTCGTAAATAAGAGTTTAGTGAACAACATATAGATGATAAAAATAGAATACACTATCTAAATGTACATAATATTTAGGTTAAATAATATTTTATACTAAATACGTATAATATACGTAAATGATACGCACCTAAAAATTTGTTGGCACCTTGCAATCAATTTAAACGTAATCACAATATAACAGAGAAGGTCATCTCGGTGATTGACCGAAAGATGAGCATTGACCCAGAGAAGGGTGCTTAAAGGGGATAGGGCCCCTTTGGTGTCGCTTACAAAAGGAACGGACACTAAGGCAGCATGAATGCAAGGAGGTTTAACAACATATATGCACTTTGCACCGAATGCGTCTGACGTCACCCAATGCCTGCATTGTTGCCGCTGCAGTTTTATTTACTTTTCAATAACTAAGATACGCATTAGAGACTTCGATCTATGAGCCTAACGTCTATGTTCACACTACTCAATATCAGACATAACGATTTACTATTTCTAAAAAATGTTTTGATGATGAATCTATCAAGTTATGGATGTCATTAAAAATTATGAAATAATTGATAAACAAGTAGGCTAAAAAACATGTTTATAAATTCAGATGTGTATAAAAAATATATTAAGACGCGTACACAATCTATCATTAATAATATTATCTATAAGTATATCATATTAACTATTACAGAAGTTTTATGTCTAGTAAACTTTTATATATGTAGTTTTTTTGTAATAAAATCATAAGTAAAACTAAGAAGACAAAGACATTCCATGTAATATTATTTGCAATGACAAAACCGTAATATTGTCTTGACGTCTATCCATCCTACTTAACACCCACCTCTGAAACACACTATAAAAATAGAAGATTTTTGTACTCCAGAATATTCCTTACTCAATAAACTGAAATAGGTCGTACTTCATGAGCGGTTCAAGGTGGCGCGTGGTGGCAAGAATAGATTATGAGTAAACCGCTTAAAATAGCGACGCCCTACAGTCATCACGTGTTGACGTTCGAGGAATGTGGGTACCCAGTCCACCAACCTATAGAAATTATCTTTGAAGATTTTATCGACAAATTACGATGTTCTGTATATCATAGACACTACAAGGCAACAACGGACAAGATCTTTTTGATGTTAATTGCTATTAAGCAATTAACTTCAAAAAGGTTGTCATAATTGCCTGTTCTTGTTTTTGTGTGGTTTTTCTTGTTCCAATTCTGATTCTTATTTTCCCCTGCTGTGTTTGCTGTGCAATAAAATAAATTTACACCGTGTTTACTTGCTTATTCCGTTTTGGATTAACTATAAATATTCCCCTGTTCCTTCTCATAACACAATTTCAAGCAGACTGAACAAATCTATATACAATAACAGTAGCTGTAAGAAGAAGTAGAACTGATACCACTAATGTAAATATAGTGTTAGGTCGACAGGTAACACTATATATTTCTATTTGAATAGAAAACCGACTCATTATATCATCTTCCTCTGGTGACCCGCTAGGGTGTACCGTTAGCGAAAGCGGAGGCACCAGTCCATAATCATCTATTAAAAAGTAGAATAGTAATTTCAGACATCATGTAACTGCTTTCATAGTTATGAGTTATCGCTACATAAGTCACATGGGAGCACATCAACGGCAAAACCGGAGTTGAAGACTGTCGCCGTGGTCGAAATCGGCCGGGATTACATCATCATCATCATCATCAGTTATGAGTTATTGAAATGAAAAGAAAACTAGATGAAAACTTTTAGCTGAGGTAAAAACAAAGTAAGAAAATAGCGATAAAAAAATAAAAATATCTTTTGTAGAAAATTAAAAAAATATTTTATAGTAAATTATAGTCATTTGAAAAGTCAAAATTAGTCAAGTCAGTCAGTCACCTTGTCACTGTTCTATGGTTTCAATTATCAAAAAAAAAAGTGGCCGAAAAAGTAATCCTACACATAATAAAACGTAAATGAGCTGATATCAAACATTATTAAAAAAAAATGTTCTAGTAGTGAACGGTTCCTACGACGATAAATATAGTTTCTTTTTTGTTTCTAATTGCCAGAAACAGATTCCTTTAATCCTGGCAATTGAAGTCACGAAGAACTTATCCTCGTTTCATTATCAAAAAAATTAAAACGTTTTCTTTTTCGAATACTCTGCATACAAATTTGCGGACATAGCTAGTATATGTAAATTACCACCAGACACAACGCCATCTAGTTAAGGCAATTGAAATATATGTTTGCATGTATTGTGTAGAAGTAACACAGTCATGTAAAGACAATAGTGGGCGTAAATTGCACGTGACTTGTTGTTTATTAATTACGACCATAGCTTAATGATTATTGCAAATGCGATTGAAGACCATTTCCAATTTATACTATTATTTTTTGGAATGACCATTTCCAATTTATAATTATACATACAAATATTAATTTGTTACATAAATTAAAAAGTCGTGGATACCCCAGTCTTGCCTATTTCGTGAATCATGCCGCTTTTCTTTATAAATTGTGTTTCGGATATAGGGTAAGACTATAGATACAGTAAAATTACAGGGGATTGTTAGCAATGTGGACTGTTGTCCTTATTGCTAGCAATGTACCATATATCGGGTTGACCTCCAAGCGCTTCCCCCAGGAAACCATCGGGATAAATTCCTGATGAATATGTAATGATGGGCTAGCTGGCCTGACCTAATGCTCATGTTATCATCCTCTACTGGTGTCCCGCCAGCGTAAGTTACCGTTAGCGCAGGCGGGTGCACCATTACTATCATCTATAATACCTAGGTATAGTGGTTTCCTGCACATACACACACACACACACAATGGTCACAGAATTCGAAATGTACATAGTTGAAAGGGAAAAAATAAATAGATAGGTTCATAGTACAAAAATCTTTCTGATTCTATTTATTGATACGGTAGTATTGCAGTCGATACAACTATAAATTTCTTCAGCTTTGCTGCTTTACTAGTAAGTCCTGTTCAGCTGACAGGCGAATGACATAACTTGATCCATATCACCAAGACCTTACAATATTTAGATGTAGGTATTCACCATATACATGTACAGAAATATCGTTTAGTTTGTCGTTGTATTCTCTGTGATGTTCAGGTTCACGAGCGAACGTAGGTACCTACCTACCTGAAAAATAAATAGGTTGTTTGTTATGTTAGTTAAGACTTTTTTAGGTCGCTAAAAAAGTTTTAACTAACATTGGCCATTATTCTTGACTATATTACTTACACAACAAAAATTGTAACGGCTATCTACAGAGCATTATTGTCTGGCGCAGAGAGCGATAAGAGAAAAAGATTGGAACGCTTGGAACGTGGGCGTCCGCCAGTGGAGAATCTGGAGCAGGCAGTTACGATCGCCAAGTACTAGGACAACATAAAATCAAAGAGCACTTTCAGAAATGCAGTTTAGTGTAAAGTGCCCTCTAGCGCCAATTAGTAAAAACAACTCATATGGATTGCTATTTCTACAGAGATATTTATAGGACATATGTTAATAGATGTCACCAGTTCATTCAAACCTACATTTAAGAATGTTTCTGAAAAAGAAAATAAACACGTATTCTATTGAATTGATACTACTGTTTTCTAATATCTATTAGTCTATTATTACTATTGACAGTAGTTTTTTTATAATATTTGTTATATTGAAAACATCGTAGCAAAACAACACACGTAAATGCTTTTTCTCAATAACCAGTTTTAATATTTCTCCGATAGATGTCAGTCACGGTGTATAATATAATGTTAAGTTTCAATCAAAATTATGATGAATACCTATGATAAATTAATTTGAAATACTGTTTTATTAGGTATTTAATACAAAATAATATGTATAAGAAATGCCTTCTAAGTATACAATTAGTTAATATCAAATCTCTCGTTTATCGTGTAGATACACGGTGGTAAGTAAAAGCATTTTTTAAATAGAAATATCTATTTTCCAAAATATGTTATGGAAACTAAAAAAAAAAACTATAAAAACTCAAATCATCCAGTTCTTTAATAGAATAGAATAAGAATATTTCATCTGAAAAGCAAAAAATAATTAGTTAAATGAGTTAATCGAGTCGTTCTCTTGTCTCTCATGTGGATAGACTAGCAAAACGCGCGGTGTTTCTGTTGAGGTAGATTTTAGAGTTTCACGTATTTCAGTCGACAAGTAGCTGGTTTTATAAGATACTAGCTACTCGCCCCGCTTCGCACGGGTGTATATGTATTATATATATAAACCTACCTCTAGAATAACTCTATCTATTAAAAAAAAAACACTTCAAAATCCGTTGCATAGTTTTAAAGGTTTAAGCATATATAGGGACAGACAGTGACAGCGACTTTATTTTATACTATGTAATAATGATGGTGATGGTTGTCTCGAAGAGTGAAATTACAGGATAAGAGGCATGACATCTATTATAGAGGATACAAAAGTGGTCTCGCATCACAAGATAACGTGATGCTGTTCATGTTTATAGGCAACGGTTATACTCGTAGCATACCATCAGATGTGTTGCAGCTTGCTTGCCTTAACAAATACATAAAAATGTCCGTACCCGCGGTATTTATGATTGTTTTTTAAGTTATAACATTGTACATATATTATCTACTAATTGTAAAAGTAAAGTTGTAAAGGTCTACTTAATAAATCATGGCCACTTTATGTATTTTAGATTGTTGTGTAGAACCTTAGTACAAGTGCTGCATTATTGAATATAAATGATGTTTACGTAGTAATAAATATAATAATAATAGTTTCATAGTAGGAGACTGAATTTATAATTAGGTATACGTTTGGTAAAGATACTGTCTGTAGTAATATGTGGATATACATAATTGCCTCTTCTTTGAAGATTTGTCAAACAGATATAAGTAATTAATATATCAGTTATAGGGAAATAAAACAAAATTTCTGTTAGTAATAATTTAACTGCATTTTACGACACTATGATAAAAATTGAAATTAATAGTAAGCTCATTTAAATAACATTGAGTAATAATAAAAACAAATTATTTACATTAATTAATATATAAGATTTAAGCAAATATTTTACTAATATTTGGTATTCCATTATTGCACGTAAGTGAAAGTGTATGATTCTGTGTTATCTTTAATATCTACTACTGATAAATAGGTACACATAAATTATACTACCATTTACAATTTCTCTTAATATTATGCGGTTCAAACGAAGCTTATTGCTTGTAACACGTATTGTGACTTTTTACAAAATAATTACGTCATAATTTAATCAGACCTAATTCATACCTAACAATTATTTAAGAATAAATAGTACCTATAAATAGATCTATTTACATAAAACAGTTTGGAGCATCATTATGATTACTAAAAGATTATTGCAAAATATTTGGCACCTCTTGATTAATATTTATTGATACGATAACTTATTGAACTTTTAAATACAGTTATCCTCAAAAAAGAAAACTTGTGCCTATATAATACACTAATGTATAAAATTACACCAGTTCGTCATAATTGTCATTGAAAGTTTGATCCAGAACATCACTATCGAAACTAGAGGCAGTTTTCTTTTGGATGGCGTCGTCCTTTTGAGCGAGCAATCTATCACAAGCCATTAGTCTACCGTGCAGAACTTCATATACCCTTGTCATTGATGCTACTTTTTCTTTACAAGACGGATCAGTTTCTATAGCGAAGAGACGGGAGTCCAGTAATTTAATAGCTGCTACAATATAATTCCTTAAAGTCTTCATTTTGTGTTCAGTGCTGATTCTATCCAGAAAAGAGCACACTTGTCTCTCTCCGCATAAAAGCACGTCAACATCATACGCCAACGGAGAATGCTGTTTATGAAGGTATGCTATCAATCGTTTTGCATATCGTCTGTATGTACGATATGCCTTTCGTTTTCTAGGTCCGAGAGTCCTTCCCATGGTCATTGATTTTTTCATATCATCAATTACAGCCTTGTATCCAGCATCGACTTTAGAGTCGAATATGTCCCGCAATCGAGTTTCAACAGGTTGTAGCTCATAAGGCGCTGGCGAAGGAGGCAGAGAAGGTGAAGATGGCGGTGGTGACGGTGGTAATGTATTGCGAGTATTCTCTTCTTCACTAGATTCGGTTGAGATTCTGCATTCTGTAGGACTGGCCTCAGGAGCTGGGTAGGGGCGTTGTCTCGTTCTCTGTCGCTGAACACGGGCGGGACGTGGAGCCGTACGAGCATTATAAGCGGTTAGAACATTGGCATCTTGTTCTGTAAGTGGTCGAGCTCTCTGTGTTGCCGCTAAAGGTATTATCCGAATTTTGACGAGACTGTAACTTTGGTGTATTTTTGCTTTTATCCGGGGGTCGTCGTAATCTGATCCCCAAAGGTCACGAATAGCAGATTCCTTAAGATATCGAACTTGACAGAGTTCGCCGTTGAAAAACCTCTTGCGCTGTTGTTCGTTGAGTGTATCTCGTTCCGCTCCTGTAAGTCCATGGATTTTAGTGAGATGGTCTGGAAGTTTCCCGTAAGTAAATCGTGCGCAGTTTTCTATTGGGCATGGTATGTTGGCGTGATTCTGTTTTTTCGTGCGAGCTGCAGTCACCGGCGGCCGGGTCGTCATTTTCTTCTTCTGGAACAAAAAATATTATTATAAGCTTTTTATTATCCTATTTATTTATGTATGTTATGTATATTATGTATGGTTTTATTTGCTTCGGTGGTTTAGCGGTTTAGCATACCGCTTTAGTTCCGATGGTCGTGGATTCTATTGTGGGCACGATGCAAAACAGTTGTAATCATAAGTATGGGTGCTTTGTACTATAATACTTAGATCTGTACTTTACACACACGGTAATATGCTACATTTGCTTATGGTTTGGGACTGAGGGAATATCGCTGTTTGAATTTTCCAGAGTTATTATTATTATTTATTAAAATTTGGAATTGGTTTTATTAAATTGTTCCAAATGAATACTAATTTCAAATAAAATTTCTTTATTCCTGTAAGTTTACAGAAAGTTATGATTAAGTTAATAAAAATTACATTCATTATGCTTTGATAGAGCAAGTAAAAAAATAGTAGTTATTTATATATTATATTATTACGTCGTAACAATTAGTAAACTCAAGTATTCCGAATGTTTTTCTAGTCCAGATAATTTATTTAGAGGGTGTTTATCGACACTGGGGGTGGCTGTCCGAGTATAATAATTGTGTTGACGGAGTCCGCCGGCTATTTGCGAAGCGCCGGCCCTCTTGTCCTACGCTTAATTTATTGAAAACAATGCCTCCTCAGTAAATGTCGTTTTGTTAGTTATCTTGTTTATATTATAAGATAAACATACAAAATATTCACTGAATAGATATTCTAAAAGGTAGTTCAATAAAAACTATTTTTTTTATTTATTTAAATTAATATTATAAAGAAGAAGGAGAGACTTGTTTTCTTATAATTAAATAATTATTTTTTTATAATTAAAATTAATTAATTCATTATAATTAAATAGAAAATAAAAAAATAAATAAAACCATTTATAGCGACATATAATACCAAGAATTTGACATGTATTTTTAATTATTTAAAGAATTCATGAATTCCAATTATCCGAAACGGGGTGTTTTTCAAACATCAATTCATCCATCCGCACTCACAGAATTGTTCCTTTATGTTATAATATTATTAACATATTGATATTTACCACATTCCATTAAGTGAGTCGTTAATCTGTTTGTCATTAATATCAAATAAGGAAATATCAAAATATACTGCATTGGTTTCGTTTAGAGATTTATTTTCATGCAATTAACGTATATACAATACATAATATATTTATTTACAGAAATATTTATAAAACTTAACAGATTATTTTTTGTACAGTTAACAAAACAATGAATTAATAGATATTGTTTCATTTATTTTTAATAACAACACATTTTGGGGGGATTCATTAAACTTTCATAATGTAAAATGAAACAACAATGGCAAGTCAAGACCGCCGTCTGATTGAGCTAATATTTATTTTGTAAATTAGCTAGTATCGCCGCCAGTGTTCTCTTTGGCCGTCTCGCAACAAATAATCTAAATTAAACGATCCCCAGAACCCGTTGTTTTATATTCTTTAATTAATAATTTTGATTAGCTTCCATGTTTTCAGTTATAAAACATAACAATTGATAAAATTTTATGTTATGTTATGTGTTTTTCTTATTTCTTTGGAGCTTTTTATTTACTGAAAACTTATATATATATAATATAATATGTTATAAACATTATATTTATTTAATATGTGTAGTCAAAGTTTTATAGCTGTCCAAAAACGATTGTATATTTATTGACTTATCCATACTGATAGCTATGTGCGGAGTTTCAATCGCGTGAAATTTATAGCCTGTGTTATTCTGACGTTATAAGCTATATTTTTGTGAAGTTTCTTAAAATCCAGCAGCTGTTGCATGAAATAGTTAAATAAAATATACAAGTTGGAAGTAATAAACAAGGAAGTTTGTGAGTGTGGATGGATGGACCGTCCACACTCACAAACTTCCGCGTTTATAATATTAGAAAGATTCGTGTTACTCTCTCTCTCTCTGTCTGTCTATCTGTTAGCTTTTTATGTCTAAACGGCTAAGGTCTTTATGAAATTTAAGATTATATGACGAGGAAGAATATCTATACAGGCTATCTTTTATACGTATAATTAGTAAAAATCACGGGATCTTACCACGTTTTATATTTATTTGCTGAGTTGCTATTTTGCTGAACTCAGCAAATAAATATAAAACGTGGTAAGATCCCGTGATTTTTACTAATTATACGTATAAATAATGACCGCGTCAAGTTTAAAACAGGCTATCTTTTATCTAAAAAAAAACAGACAAAATCGCGGGTAACTAGTATTTATTATAAACTTCGGCTTTAGTAGTGCAGGTATTAAGCCCAAACCCTCGAGTTCAGATGATCGCGAGTTTGAGCCTCAGCTGAATTGAAACAATTATTAATATTATAATTAGTCTGAATTTCTATTTAATAGGTCTATTGAGAACGTTTAGGCATGGCGTAGGCATGAAACACATGATAATGTGTTGATAATTCTATGGGACTATGATTTCATGTCTCCGCCATGCCTAGATAAGTGATCTCTCACATGACGTGACGTGGTGCTGTTTGTGTATAGCGCGGTGTAAATAATAAATATATAACAGTGTATAATTAATACAGCGCTATCTAGTCCCGTGGTAAGCAGAGCTTGTGTTAGCACAGATAAAATAATATTACATAATACTAGACAATGGATTACTTAGATTTTTTTGTAAATACATACATAATACACATACTTAGAAACACCCAGACCGATGCAAACAATCATACTCGTAAATACAAATGTATGCTGTGCGAGGAATCTAACCCGCGACCATTGGAAGTAAAGCATAGTGCTATACCGCTAGACCACCGAGGCCGTCAAGTGTAATATAATAATATTCTATACACATCTATATGTCTGACATATTACCATAATTATCTATATTTCATCTCACGATTGATAAGACGGGCAGGTCGCGTTTTGAGAAAGTTGTCATAAAGAACCCTTTTCGGATAGAAGTGCGGCGTGAATAAATAACTAATTTGCATATTTAATATCAGGTATCGCGATTCAATTGCGGGTTCCGTGAATTATTAATCCAATGCCGCGGTTAGCTTATTACCCTCTGGCTTACACAATCAAATATTCAGATCAGATATTCTTAATTAGCTGAGTATAAAGTGGAGGCTTTATTAACACAAACATTGTTTTACTTGTCAAAATTACAATTTAGCCGTTTTACCTATGATGAGATAGCTGGAATAGATATCTACTCGGTTTACTCAGTAAATTACGTATTATTAAGTATTTATGAACTCATCAAAATATAACTTACTATATTTATCAATTAACTACATTTTATAAAATATTGTCTATATTAAAAAATCTTTAAAAAAGGCAACTGCTGTTTATAATTTGCTTTAAATTATAACATGGTCATTCATTTTCAAATTATATACTTCACAATTCTTACCTTATCCTTCGATGTTTAGTATATAAAAAGCTAAATGGTATATTTTAGCTACACTGTGTCCTCTATGGTTTATTATTAAGCTTTAAGATCAGAAAAGAATCTGAGCAGATTTATCAAATGGCGCCTGATTTTTATCTAATAAAGCTACATGTTGAGTTTTTTTAATTATTATTATTATTTAACACAAGTTTTATTTGTAATTTGTGTAATAAATGTGAAATTCTTCCTATTAGACGATTAGGCTTTCCGGCAAGTCAAACAAGGTGAACCCTCCGGCCCGGAACCTGTGGTATTTTATCCTATTTTTACGCCACTAGCTGTCAAGTATGCCTCCAGGTTATCGACCTAGGAAACTATCATAGTGAATTCCTGTTATTGTTTATACTATATGCGTTATGATGGCAAACAGTCCTATGTACGCTGAGGCCAGGCGTGTCACGTGCGCGTTGCCGACTCTTAAGAAACCTTAATATAGGGCATATTAAAAGTTTAATTTCTTATGATATAATGCCATATGCCATATATATGATAAAATCCCATACTACAGTCTCGCGAAAAAACATTCCATAATCATAATATACGCGGATGGAAGATGTTCTGAAACCACAATGTCCTAGACAACTTAGGTACAAGCATGTGGGTATTAATTGCCTATCGATGGCGGAGCGGTAAAAAGTAGCCGTGGGCGTCATGTCAACCTCAGTGAGAGAGCTTCAAGCTCAGTGAGACCGAGCTGGTATCCAGGAGCTCCTGCCTAAAGATGAGATTAGTACTCTATATGCGGACGAAATTCTGTTATTTCACGCAAAATTGTATACTTTCACGCAATAACTACTAAACGGATTTTGATGAAACTTACAATAATATACTTTATGCATTAGAATAATATACATAGTAATATATACTAATATAAATACATAGGCTATTTTTTTATATTCAATTTAACGTGGATGAAACCGCGGGCACAGCTAGTATACAATAAAGATAATACTGAAGGCTGTTTTAACATTTTACTGTATTATAATTCTAATACTCTAGCTTTATAATAATTACAGTAAATAAATAAATAACAGTTAAGAGATTCAGTTTAGTAGTAGCTACATAGATAGATAATAAACTATGTTAATATTTTTATTTCGCCCACTTTTTCTTTACAAAAAATACTTACATGATATATTTGTTAGTGTAAATTGTAAGATACAAAGATAGAGTAAAAGGAATCTAAAAACACGTCGATTAACCCTCAAACGCGGAGGTGTTCGGGGGCGACCACCCCGCCGTGCACCGAGCGCATCCGTAAACACAGGGTAAACAAGGGAACAGCGTAAACAAGGGTGCACTCGATATTGCAACCTGAAGGACGTATTTAATAAATGGTGTTCACATTTTATTTATGTTGGCTAATGGATTCATTTTTATTACAATATTGAATACGTTTATTAATATTGTAAGTACAAACGTATGTTTGTTTGTCTGACTGTTTCTTACTACTTATATATTACGACGGAAAGTATTGTAATCAAAGTTACTATTCATATAGATCACGGGGATGAACATACATCTCAAAAATATTGAAATAAGAGATAAATATTTGTACAGAAGAAATCTCGAGTAGTAGCTATAAATATTGAATCTTAAGGAACTAAACTTGTAATAAAATATGATGAAATGGATACTAAATATCTATTTACTATAGAGTGGTATAGGTTTTAATAAGGTAAAACAAAAAAGGGAGAACGTTGTCAATTTTACTATAATTTTCTCCTGTGTTAAACTTCATAACTTGTCTTAAAGGTGATTACATTATAATAATACATTTTTAATTTAAAAACTAGTAGGTCTTGCGTATATACATATAAATAAGATCAAGATCTGATTTGTAGTTTTATAGTTAATCTTATTTAAACGATTGAAGTCTGTTTTTCGTGGTCTGATCGCGGCCAAATAATTATAACCAACTGTTCAATTTGTATGCACTTGGATAAATTGTTTTTCATTATATACAAATATTAGTATAGTATAGGAATGAGGATGTTTAAGTGTCATCGAACATTAAGATATATACATGAATATGATTTCCCAAAACTGTAGTATTAAAGTTAGAAATATCTTTCTATTTTTCATTACTATATACATTACAAAATACAGTCATTTATGATTATTAGTTTCTAAAATTTCTGAGATCATACACTTCCCATTGTCCTAGTCCTTCAAGAACTACGCCGAGCAACAAAATTATAAGGCTGATTTAAAATATATTATACTTGTACCCCAATCATATGCTACCCCATTGGAGCTGGTAACTATTTAGAATAAACTAGTATGACTCAATATTAATTATTACAGGCCTATTTTGAAATAATAAATGAGTACGATTAAATTGATATCAAATAAAAGTACTTTAATTTTGCAAAAAAAAGGACATAGTGATTTACAAAGATAGTAGAAAATAATTTAAAGAATGTTTAATATTGTTTAATTTATATAATGTATTAGGTAATATACAATTATAGATTATTTGATGTTTATTTTTATACAGATTATAGATTGTTTATCTGTGCGACAATTTTTAATTTATTTACTATTATTACTGTTAATTTATTTGTGTTATATATTTTTTTTATTCAAACAAAAACGTATATTATTATCCCAATTGTTTTGTTTAATAAAAAATGACACCACAATAAAAGCTATTCTGAGGTTTGTAGATAAGGAGGATTTCTTAGAAACAGTTTATCAAAAATACACTGTTGGCAGAATATTATCCATTTATTATTTTTAAAAACTCAATATTCAACCGTATAATGAATGATACGTTTTTTATTTCAATATTTTGTAGAGGTGTATATAAATTTATAATTTTTATTTAACTTAACAGAAAAAGTACATATTATATTACAAAAGAATACAGTATTTCATATTTATGAAAGCAAAAGTCACCAATTTTACAAGAAATATGTACAATAATACTGAGTTCAAAAACAAGTAATGAATTTAAACAAAATTAGAAATCATAATTATAATATATATAATATACAAGTAGATACCATATATAACGGCTATTAATATAAAACATATAGTGATATAATAATAATAACTTACCCCAAATTAGCACACACTGCTCCAAGGAAATCGCGTGTTGTTTACGAGAATAAACACGTTGTTGTTATTTATGTTAACCCTAAAATCGCCGCTGAAAACGTGCGACCCCCTGTACTGTCGTCACTCAACTGACGTTACGTAACTTGTATCCTGACAATCCTGTACCCAACCCTCGAACGTCTATGCATTTTCTCTAACCACCAATTTTCTTTGAACTTTCCTGCCTCTCTTTACTGTACGCAAAACGATATAATTACATGAAAAGTACGTTTAATGGAGGGATCTATTTGCATTGGTTTTGTTCGAATACCTTGATCCTCGGTTCGTAAGGGATCGGAAAACTTCGGATTTTACAAAACTCCGCCTTTGCGTAGTCAAGTCTACGTCGTAGAGGTAATGACGCGACGTAGCAATTTATTATAAATAAAAGTATTTAATAATACATTAATAATATCAATTATTAATGTATTATTAAATACTTTTAATGTGTGTTTATTTTTTATTATATTTGTTATTTTAAGTTTTTAATGGTAAATTTCATTGTAGTAGGTTTATATATTTACAAAGGTTTTTTTTTTATAAATTTATGCAAGTAAATTTTAAATGTTATCAAGAATTTAATAAACGTAATTGTAACTGAATAAATTCACAAAGTTTTTTTATTGGTTGCAGTTTATAATATGCATCTAATATTAGGTTGGCTTTAAACAAATAGCGCAGTATGTACGAGTATAAATTATATATAAATACGGTGATAATTTTGCTCAACTTCCATGGAAATTATTTATTTTTTAGATTATTAGTGGAATAAACTTCTTCTCAATTGTATAATGCTGGTATTTCCTGGAGTAAAGTTTATGCACAATAATATATATGTCTACGCGTGGTGTATATTAGGCATATACGTAGGCAACGCATATATATTCATTTAGTTCCATATATATTTATTTCGTTTAATGCGAGTGCGTTATCACAAACATCATTAAACATTAATGCTTAATAGCATTAGACTTAAACGTAATACATCATATTCTTATATTGCTCTCAATTTTTCATCGTAACTAACTCAACATACATACAAGTAAGAATGAAATTTTTATGTCAGCATTAAAAGGACACGCCCATCTGATGGAACTGGGAGTGGCTGAAATAATACACGCCTACCGCCTTCTCCATTGCTTGAGGCTCTTTCAGACAATGTCACTTATTATAATGCTACCGATTTTGAAGCACCATAGTTCTTAGGAGGAAATTTAGTAAAAAATTACATCCGTATTTGGTCGTATAACCTAGCGATATGGCGATTCGCATATTGATCGCTTCAACTTTCTAGACGATTGATTAAATACTCAGTGGGGATACAATAGCATCCGGATTACAGGCTCGCTTGTTTTTTATATAACTTGCAAATTGATTTCGCAAGCAATTTAAATTCCTCTGGAATATCAACGCATAAGTGATACCAATGGTATGTTGACTTGCTGACCATCAGGTGGCTTGCTTGTTTTATTGTTCTAATTAATTAAAGAAATCTCTAATATACTATACATCATACTAGGTACAATATTAGTATTTTTTGTACCGATTGACAGTACGAATGTAAACTGATAGTGCATTTTAGTAAACTAGAAAAGAACATGTTATTTCATTGATTAACAATTTGCAAAATTTTATTTCGATGAAATTTGTAATTGCTTATTACTTACATATATTTTTTTATACCACGAAGTGTGGTAATCAAGAATATGGCCATTCTGATGGTAAATAGTTATCGTAGTCTACGGAAGCCTGAATGAGCAGGGGTTGTAAGTGGGCATTGCCTGTATGATAAGGTATTTTCTCTCAGCTATTTTACCTATATGTATATCCGTGAAAAAGGAATGGTCAAGATTTAAATTGTAATATTACAGATATAATTTGCATGTTTCTAAAAATTTCTAATATACTTATGATTATTGAGAGCGTCGTGTCTAGTTATTTACTAGATTAAACACCGATAATAAAATTAATCATTACGAATGTATGCTATACTCCTGCCATGTTGAATTGCATATACAGAGAGAAATGTGTGCAAATCAAGTATTCACAATAACACTGGTTTTTTCTTATGAATGATAATGTCAGGTGAGTTAGCCCATCATGGTAATTCATCATGAATTTATCACAATGGTTTCCAAGGGAACCACGTGGAGGTTAACTTGATATGGTACATTGCTAGCAATGAGGTAACACCGGTCGTTGATGAGTTTCTGACTACCTCACCTGGGATAACAGTCATGAAGATATAATACTAATAATACTAATATTTTCATAGAGTTTCTATGGAATTAAGTATCAGTTATTCAGAATGTATATTTTTTATTGCATCGTTGAAGGTAGAGCTTGTTTTCGTCAGAAGTTTAAGCTAGGTGACTGTACTATCATTAATCAGCCAATAATATGCAGATCCTTTTTAAAAACACCACCATTTCTTGCAGGCGAGATCAAAATATGTCCCGAAAGAATGGCAGAGATATGACAGAATTTCGAATGCGTAAAATTGTAAGCTAATTATTAGAAACAATATTATAAAAGTAAAACTATTAATGTTTATTATGACAGACAAAATAGCTATCTATGTATTTTGTTATATATTACACAAGAAATATATATTTATATGTATAATTAGAATACTGTTATTTTTTTAAATATAACAGTGTTCTAATTATATATTATAACTAGCAATCCGTCCCTGATGCGCAATGATGTATTACAAATCCGTAACTTTCTCGCCTTGTTATATACTATAACACGCATACATTATATATATTTAAACACATAAATCTTCCTCTTGAATCACTCTATCTATTGCAGAAAACTGAATTAAAATACGTTGCGTAATTAAAAGATATAAGCGAACAGACAGCGACGGCTACCTATGTAAATGTATCTACAAAACATACAACAGTATTGCAAGTTTCAAAATTAAAATAGTGTCCTTTTCTTGCTTATACTGACAATTCATTAATATTTGTATGACTGTGTATACATTAATGATCCATGTTGAGCTTTCTATTTTTTTCTTGACATAATGATGATAAAAATATGATGTTGGCCTCCCCTCCGGATATCCGGTGGATATTGTGTTATCCGCCGTCACAATAAGAAGCTCGTGATAAATTTGTACCAGGAAATGCTCGTTGATTAATACTCTTAGCGGTTTATGGAAGAACACGCACGATTCTGAAAGGTGTTTGCAAACAACACTTAGTTGTTTAAACTCATTCAAAAGTATCTTTGAATCATAATAAAATAATTATTTTTAGTAAATCCTTAGTCCTTGATGTCTCCATGATAATATTATTTCTAAATTATTAATAAAATATCGTTTCAACACAGGATATTATTGCAGAATTTTCTTGAAAAAGAAACGATGTCGGTGGTGATAAAATTAGTCTGGGAGCAACTGACACAGGAATTTCCTATAGTGTTTACTATTGTGTTAATTTATACTCGAGTAATATGAGTATAAACATACAAAATAAACAGTCTAATACAACATTTGTTCTTACATATCATTTTTTTTAGCAATGTTTAATATTTTAAAACCAAAGTGTGTCGGTGTGTTTATTGCCTTTTCGCAAATAAATGACTGAAAGGAACTTAATATTTATGATACTAAAACAGGAACATAGGCTATATTTTAGTTTAAATAAACTATAACATATAGGTAGTTTCCTATAATTTTTGTTTGTAAGGATTGATGATATTCGCTATATGTATTAAAATTTTACGTTCTAATATGAGCTCATTTTTTTATATTTTATTTTTGTAGCGCCTACTGGCCAAAGTATGTTATTTGTTTTCTGATAGAAAAACCTCTGTCGGCATGCTTCGAGTTATGCGGCGTAAATCATAGGGCGGTGTGCATAATAATATAATAAAATGGGGTTCCGATACTTTGTTTATTGTTTTGATGAGTCAGCTGAATCGACCCTCAGATAGAAGAATACAGAAAAGGGAAGGTGCCCGCATATGGCAGAAATTTGTGTGCATAAAGAAAGTTTTTGAGTTAGCGCGATGTCTTAGATGCAGATCTTGATGAAATGAGATTTCCTCGTCTTGAAAAGTAATTGCATTTCAAAAAGTTTGATACTTAAAAACTGATGGAGACAGAAAATGTGACACAAACTGTTGGAAAATTTTGAAAACTAAATAATGACTGTGAAAGTCTAATTTGAAATAAGAATATAAATGAAAAAAGACATTATCATAACTGTCATAATATTATCACGACTGTCATTCTTGATAGGGTGGTCAGAAGTATTATCGGTTATTGACGATTTGGTGCTGTAGTATATTTAAATCAATTTTGCTGGAGTATATTTAAATCCAACGTAGGCAGTAGAATCGCTCTTCTCTCGGTTTTTTGTATTGTTACTGGTATCATATCGGAGAATTTATGTCGACCAGATTTGAGCTGACAACCTTTTGGATAGTAAACCACATATTGAGTTTAACTTGGTCCCGAGAGCGCGGTTTGAATCGTCTTAAGATTGATATCAGATATTTTTATAATTTATTATTTACAACAATTTCAACAATCGGATTTAATTTTATTAACAGACCTTAATTATTTCAGTTTTTTATTTTTAAATCAAATTAATGTCATATCTCTTACTGTTATTAGGATACTTGTGAACTTTAATTAGATATTAACGATTGAAGTTAGTTTTTTCGTACCAAATGAATTATTATTTATAAGGGTCATTTTGTTTATGCAAAATATTAAAACTGAGATGTGTATGAATGTAAATAAAATTCGCTTAAAAACATTTCAAGCTTTCCTGCAATTTACCTATACTACTGCATTTAGATAGTACCTACTATTATGCACTCTTTTGTATGTGCAATTACAATACCGTGTTTTGCAATAGAATTTTCCAAATTACCAGCCATCGTAGACAGTTTACAGGCAATTGGCAATTCATCGAATCCGTTTGTTTGGCCGCTACAGCGATTAACTTGTTGAATTTTTTATATGACACATCGTCGTGGAACAACAGTGGGATGTTTTTCACGTCCTTTTTCGAAATTTCACGTGATTGTCGTGTGAATAATGCAT